CTTTGTCGTGGATGTTGTTGTGGAGGGGTTGGGGGGGGTAGTCGGATGCGAAGGTGGTTTGGATTTTGCGGCGTTGGTGGAGGTCGGCGGAGGCGAGGCGCATGTAGTGGGCGGCGGTCAGGGTGGGGGCTGGGATGTGTTGGTCGATGGCTTCGGTGTTGGACCAGATTCCGGTTCCTTCTTCGCCGCAGACGTCTTGGACGACTTTGTCTTCGACCGTGTCGAGGACGCGCACGCCGGCGTGGTTGATGGTTTTGCAGATCTCGGCGCCGATGCGGATCAGGAAGGTGCCTGGGCGGTGATGTGAGTGTCGGGCCAGTGCATGCGTCCGATGTACAGGAGTGGTGTGCTGAAGCAGACTTACCTTGGAGCTCGCCCTTGGCATTCCAGCGGTTGAACACATCCCCAACCTCATCCTCACTCATACCCAGGCCTTTCTTCATGATGGCCCAAGCCTCGCAGATGGCAGACATCATGCCGTGTTCGATGCCGTTGTGGATCATCTTGGTGTAGTGGCCTGCACCTCCCGTTCCGATGCGGCCGACACATGGAGAGCCATCAGGGGCCTTCGCAGCAGCCTTGCGGAGAAGCGGCAGAACGATGTCGAAGGTCTGGCTGTCGGTGCCAGGACACATGGACGGTCCTCGCCGGCTGAGAGACAAGTCAGCGCGCAGTTCTTCTCGAAGCATTTGCCGAACTTACGCTGCCTGATACCCTCCGCTGACACCCATGCCGACGTATCGAATGCCTTTGGCTGTTGTCTTGCCGATCCGACGCTCGGTGTTCTCCCAGTGCTCATTGGCGCAGTCGATGATGATGTCGTCCTTCTTCAGGTATGGCATGAGGCCGTCGAGCACCGTGTCGCCAACCTGACCATGTGGCAAAGACCAGAAGAACACTTTTGTGCTGCTGCCAAAGGCCTGCCGAAGACAAATCAGCTCTCAATACTCGAGGGTGTTCAAGACCTCTCGGAATTCGAAGAGAAGCAAAGATGACACAGACCTTGCATAGGGACTCGTTATCCTGATACTTGGAAATTTTCTCGGAAACGTTATCCTTCTTCGCCTGATCCAGCACTTTACTCATCGCTTCGCTTGACGGGTCCCGCAGGAAAACATCGCAACCGTTCTCTGCGAACAACAATGCCATGCCACCACCCATAGCACCACACCCGATCATTGCGATCTTGTTGATATCGGAAGTCGACGCCATTGTGATGATGAACTTCAGTGCTGATACGGTGTTTCGTTGTTTCCTCGAGCCAGCAGTCGTGTGCAGGAAAGCGATTGAAATACTTAAGCAGCTTGATGTATCTTAGTCTGCTGCCCAGTGGAGGTGGAGATGGAGTGTTTGGTCAAGCTTCCCCAGCTACTGTGAATGGTCATGGTGACATCAAGTCCCGGCGGAGAGGTGCACGTTTTCGGGTGCGTGCTGTGTGAGTGTCATCAGTCATGCAGTGAATGAACGGATTTGTGATTACCAGGCCTGTCGATGTTTGCCCGCACCCAGACATGACATCAAGCAGATGCCGAGCTCATGAGCAGCGTGTTGCGACAAACAGGAGCTCTGGGAGACTGTTGACTTGTGCGCCGACCAACTGGTGCCAAGATTGCTCGTTGCAAGTGTGATCGTAGTCGAAGATCCGAGAACAGCCGACTGCTGACCTCTTGCACAGACATGCTGGCTGGCTCCACTGGTCCTTGAGATTAAGCGTCCGTCCGCTGATGGAAAGGTTTTTATGCGCTCAATTAGAAGAGACTGCACAGTTCACGGCAAGGAAAGATTTCGGCGCCGCAAAAGACGGGCGACAGGGCACAAACAAATGCATGATGGGGGTATCTTCGCTCGCTTCACTAATGCTCATCAACCTCATCTTCAGGATCGTCTTCTTCGTAGCCTTCTGCTTCAACACCACTGTCATCATCATAATCGTCGTCTTTGACTTCACTCCAAGCAGCGCTCTCTTCCATAGGCATAGGATCGACGGGGCTGAGCACTTCCTCATCTTCTCGCCGTCGCTTCTCATCCTCAGCCTGCTGCGTTTCCTCCTCCTCAAGATCAAACATGACGGATTTCCTCCTCGTATTTGGGCTTCCACCTGTGCTGGTGCTGCCGCTGAGTGTTCTTCTTTTCTCAATAAGTACATCTCCATTCCAAGGTCGGCATTCTTTGACGACTTCTCCACACCGTAAGCATATGAACCCTTCGCCTTCTTCGGCTTCGATGCGCTGCGCCAGGCACACGAAACAGTATATGCATGCGCAAGGATCAGCCTCGTACGGGTTTGTGATGTCTGTCTGTGCCGATCCAATGATTCCCGAATTCGCGCCAGCGCTTGATGCAAGTACATCTTGTTCGCTCTGTCCGCCTGTGGGGTTCTGATCTTGATAGCATATCGCGCATGTTCTCTCAGGAAGGAAGGCCAGCTCTCCTTTCTTGATATCTTCATCTTCATCGTCGATGCCAGCCTCGGGGTTGCCTTGTGCCAGTTTCATCATGCCTATCTTCATCTTCTTCCATGCTCTTGATATCCATCGTCTCCATCTGCTGATTCCGACCAATGGCAGTAAGAAAAGTAAAAACTCGGTAAATGCGTACCAGACGAGCTGCCGATTAAGGAACTCGAAGGAGACTTCTCTGCTGGTCTGATTGCTTGCAGGGACGAGTCGGAGGCGTAATAGTCGATCGGTGAGTGTGCGGTAGCGTCCGTTGTAGAGGAACACCAGGAAGGAAATGAACGCCGCTATGTTGTGTGTGGTGGATAGGTATGTGGTCCATTGTGAAAGTCGGCGTATGAGGGGTGTGGGTTCGTCGTATCCATTCTCCAAGCTGCTGAGTCGGTCTTCCCAGCGCGCCCAGCCGTATCTGCCGCCCACTGATATGATTCCGTAGAGTAGTCTCTGCCAGGTCGTCGCTTCCTTGCGTACCAAGGTGTTGGGGTCGGGCTTCCCTCGTGCGTCGACGTATTTCAGGCCCTGCAAGCTCGCCCCATACGACTGCCCGTGATCCCAGATGCTCAGCTTCCACATGCATGTTCGAAGGAAAAACGTGATTTCGCGTGAATAGTCGTCTTTGAGGTGAGCGCCGTACAGTTTCAGGCCTTCGCCTGCTTGTTTCTTGAGGAGGTCGAGCAGTGCCTCGTCGAGGAGTTCGGCGTCCACTTGTCCGACGCGGAAAGCTGGTCGCGTGCCGTGCGGTGATTTGAGGAAGTCCCAGAAGCTCAGAAATTCGAATGCGTAGGCGCGTAGCTGCGGTGGGAGTGCCGTCAGCTGTGCCGTGCGGGATTCTCGTGCTGCTGTATTTGCTGCCGTCAGTGCGGATTCTCGGGCGGCGCGTCTCTTCAGGATGCGTTTCTGCGCGGCGGCGAAGTCGGCCATGGTATGTGATGGAGCATTGGGCGGTGCAGAGGGGAGGAATTGGGAGGGAACGGGAAGGAAGGAAAGGTGTGTATGTTTCTGTGGTGAGTGATCGGGCAGCGAAGGAATCTTGTGAGGCCGGACCGAGGTCCGCTCCAAGCGCCAAGCCCGGTGCCCGACATCAGTCTGAAAGGAGAACTCACACGTCTGCAACAACCACGAATGTTAGCAAATCAATCAACACTCTATGCGGCGTCCATACAGCTGTGCTTGACGACGTGAGTGTACCGCCGAAATCGAGTCGCCGAGTCCAGGTGTTTCCACTTGCAGCTCTCCAGTCTTGCCGAAGACGGCTAGTCGTACGTTGGATATGAGTTGCTCAAGCACAGCTGTAGGTGAGCACGAAAGGAGGGAACGATTCACTCACCAATCCATATCCGCGATGACCGGCCAGGTCTCCCACCCGATCACCGTCATTTCGCCGGCGATCACGCCCGGCGCAGACACCAAGATCTCGACCCAGACATAGCCGGGGCCCCGTTCCACGTAGGTATTGTACTGGACATGTCCAGCCAACGCGATATCGCTATCGCTATGCCACATGTTAGTGGCGGGGCCTTGCTGGCGGTCTGGGTCCGCGACGGCCAACATTGCCTGCCAGCACGCCGGCGGACGCAGCGGCGCATCGGCGGGCACGATCGCCGCGTCTCTGAGGCTCAAGGTTAGCTTGTGTGCGCAGAACGGATGTCGGGAGCAGAGGGAACTTACAGGTCGATGAGCTCGTCCTCATCGTCGTCGTCGGGCCTGTTCACGCGAGATGTTAGTATTCGGTGCGTATTCAATGACAAGAGAACGTCTCAGAGCAGCTAAAGGGAATCCAGAAGCAGGAATACCGTCCAAACCGGAGTTGCGAAGGGAATTCGGCCATTGAGGAGTGCACCAAGACCGGCTGTCATCCTCGATCACATCAGTACATCTCTGCTGTGCGCAAGCGACGTGAAAGACGGAACAAGAACCAGAGTGCATAATCGTGGCCGGAGTTTGGAGCGAATCGATTGAGGATCCAGCATTATTTCTCGGAAGGATCGCCCAACATCGAGTGCCTCCGATCATGCTCTCCATCTGTCATCCTGAATGGGATGCAGGTAACGCGAGCTTGAAGGCATCGATGAGGGTAGATGTCGGAAGACGGCGCTTTGGACCTCTCATGAAGTGAATCTCACGCCATTGTGCGAGCTTTTGTCAGGTCCTCGATGAAGTCCCTCTCTTGGCTGTAGACTGTTGCATTTTATGGCAGCACCGAAGCAAAGGGCTGAGTCCGGTCACGCAAGAGGAAGGCCGGCAATCCGAACCCCGTGAATTGGTGGAACGAGGCATATCTCACGCAGCAGAGTGCGATCCAGACTTGAATTCTCCATTGGGATGAAAGAATCGTCAACTTACGGTGGTGGTCGGGCGATTTCGACCGGCAGGGCCGGCCAGGGACCCCACGGGTCGCTATGATCACATTAGCATGTTGACAAGGAGCACAATGAGCGATGAGCGATGAACGATACCGGTGCAGGCGGATCTCCACCCCCGTCGTGCGGAGCGCGCGCACCTCCAAAAAGAAAGGCATGTTGCTGTTGCTGTTGCTGGTGCGGTCGGCTTGGTGGTGTTGTTGGTGGTGGAATTGTGAAAGTGAGCGGAGCGAGGTGGACTTCACACGCGGCATCGTCATTCAAGCAACTGGGCTGCAGATCTTGCATGAGGCAGGAGCTGATACTGGACTACTGGGAATGGACTGAACAATCAACTTGTCGAAATATATGGATTCCATTGACTAGACACATCGCTACTCTATCTCAGAAGCAATAAACACTCGATCAGTGATACAATATGAAGACAAGATTTGAAAAAAAGCGTGTGAAAGGCAGAGCGTCGAGAATACAGAATACGTAAGTTGCGGCTATGAAACGGTCTGGCGGCATCACGCTTACCTTTGTGAAGCACAACGCCAAGTGACGCGGCCGACAGACGCTGAGTAGAATGCTAACAAGGCCATGCGAGAATATCACGCAGATGCACAATGCACCCAACACGAACATCACCAGAACGCTGACCAGCAGCGCCCAACACAGCACGACTTACCAGAATCTCCGCAGCGCCTACTCCTCAGACAAATCATCAGAATCGACAGAAGCATCCGACTCCTCATCATCACTCACCTCATCCGCCTTCTCATACTCCACCCCATCCTCACCACACAAAACCTGATTCCCCCTAACACTCACCGTAACACCCACCTCCTTCTCCTCCTCCTTCTCAAACTCCACCGCCTTCCACCCCTCCAGCTCCTCCCCATCAAAAAAGACAACCTCACCTTTCCCAAACTCCACAACAAACCCTTCCTTCCTCCCAACCCTCTCAAAATACCTCTCACGTTTTCGCTTCGGAATTCGAAGAAAACTCATCACCCCCGAAACCATCGCATCCCCCACATACTTCTTCCCTTCCATCCCAAACCGCGGACAAACGAGGATCAACGTCTTCCGCATGCGTTTCTTCGGACTGGGGGAGGGGGGAGAAGGGAAAGCTTTATACAAACCTTCGAATGTCGCGTTATGGATTTCTCGAAAGAGTTTCGTCCGATCTTTTTCCAAGACGTCTTCGGAGTCGATTCGCCAGGCACCATATTCATCCTGCGAGTTCGAGTCAGCGTCAGAGTTGGGATTTGGGGGGGTTCTTTTCACTTCCGTGTTGAAATGTCCGAGGAAGAATTCGGTGTCGCTGGTTTCGAAGTAGATTCCGAGACAGGTGTGGCAGCCTTTTGTGCCGATGTGGGGGCCGCGGGAGGTGGTGGTGTATACACCGCCGTAGCCTTCGGGCATGGAGTGGTATTGTTTGGGGGTTGGGGGAGGGAGGTTCTCGGAGTTGGTGTGGCGGAGGGATTTGGGAGGGGAGGGAGATGGGCTTCGGATGCGTTTGGAGGGAGGGGATGGGGATGGGGATTGATTTTTCTGGGAGTCTGCGCTTTGGGCGCGCTTGGAGGATTTGCGAGGGGTTGGGGATTGAGGGTTCTGGGAATCTGCGCTTCTGGCGCGCTTGGTGGAGGTGGGAGTGGACATGGTGGATGATGGTTAAGAAGTTGGGCGGAAGATCAACCTTCAGGGTGTTACTTCGTGATGTTCCTGGAAGAAGAGCTTCAAGATGAATATGGCAACAGTGGAGGGATTGGTAAGGAATGCTATTCTTTTAAAGATCGAGGTCGAACATGGAGCACTTCTGCTGAACAAAGGCATTGCCGAGGACACAAAGCATTGTGAACGGCCAATATGACGCACGGCCAGGCATTACTTGTGCAGATAATGGCTTTGTCTTGATGAGAGACCGATAAAGTCACTCGTCGATATGCCAATGTTGCGATGCGATGGTGACTGAATTGCAAAACGAGTTACATGGACCTGCTGCGATGACCGACAATGCTCCGGCAAGTGCTTGGTCAGAGCATCATCTTGCTAAATTAAGCGACAAAGGAGTGTATACGGTCAGCGTCTTTCTTCCACCAGCAGTATTCTTCGGCAGCTGATGCCCAGGACACTGAGCTCGCACACCTTCGACTGAACACTACCTGCCTCATTGCCAGCCCACACGAACGAGAACCACCTCGGCTTGCAAGTCTGTATCTAGTCGAAACACTCGCGGTCGGCCTCTGCCTCAAGAAAACTGCCTGGTGTTTTGCAACGCTCATGGTCAAATGTGGCTTTTAGTCACTATTTCTCGTATCAATATGCGTGTACAGGTTTCGATATTTGCGTTGCTCAGACCGGCACCCAGTTTCGGACGACGATAGTACAACTCTGGACCACGAACTCTTAAAACGGCTTGTTCAGAAAAGGAGAAAGAAATGTCTTTGTCCGCACGCACTCTCAAGACGGTACCTAGCGCACCAAGCGCCGCCAACTACAAGCCTTATACGCTTGTCGTAAGCTCGACGGGCGACGCACGACATTATTCGACTTGCTGCATAGATGGGAGATGATCCCGAGACTGAGAAATTTGCAGACGGATGAGTTGAAACCCAGGCTGTATGATCACGAATCAACTCAAGCTAACGCTTATCCCTACAGGAACGAAAAATGAAGAAAAAAACATCAAAGTATGTCTCGAAGCAACGGTATAAGATCGCCAGACGTCAAATGTACTTCGTGGATATCAAGAACGACATCAAGCCTTTGACGGCATGTATTTCCGGAACAAATCCGTTGATCCTCATCCAGCGGTCAGTACGGCAGTGCAGAAAAAGAAGGAGGATTGATGGAGGCTGAGATTTGGGGTGTACACGGAAGCATGAAACAACGAGCGTTCGTATATGCATCGTCTTTTCCGCGAGCCAAAACACCACGCTTGCTAACCCCCCATCACTTTTCCTTCGCCACTTTCCAAGCCCCACTCACCCTTCCACCCACCCCATTTACGAGGAGAAGTAAGAAATCGCATCATCAAAATCCGCATCAATCTTCGCCTGGGCGGCATTCGCAGCCGAAGTCTTGCTGCTGGGAGTATTGTTCGCCAGCGCAGCACCAAGGCTATCAGTATTATTCTTCGTATTCTTAAGACCATCGAGCGCATTCTGGCCATACCCATCTTTCTGGAACTGTTCCTTCTTACTCTTCATAGCATTCATCGCCTTCTTGATATTCGGCTCGAGAGTGTTATCGATGTAATCGATGAGGGACTGGGCCTCGGAGGCGGAGTTGGCGCCGCTTTTCTGGGCATAGGTGGTGGAGGACTTGATGTCGTCGTTTAGAGTGTTCTGGGCTTGGTTGACGTCGAGGATGGTGGGGCCGCCGACGTAGTTGTTGACCTTTTGGGTGAAGGTCTCGGTGTCGGTGTTGATGGTGGTAAGGTTTTGTTGGGTTGCTTTGGCGTCACGCTCGACTAGCTCTGGGAGGACGAAGGCTGAGGCGGTGGAGGTGAAGAGGAGGATGTTCTTGATGGAGAGCATGTTGGTGACTGGATGTTTTTGATTTGGGGTGAGAAGAGGAGTCTGGTCTGAGTGATCTGCTGGAGTTGGAAGTTCTTGCTGCGATGCTGCTGATGGCGATGTTTACGAAGGAAATCTTGCCGTCTTTTGTGCTGTGCTCCTCGCGACCTCTTTGCCATTTTCTTGCTGCTGCCTCGGCATGGACTTCGAAGTCGCAGTAGAGAAGCATGGAACCACGTGAAGTGATCTCGGTGCGAGTACGACCTGAGTTTTCTCAAGCAGCCTCAGCCTCATCTCATATGGTGTGGTTGAAAATGCCGAATGACTTGCCCGATCAGGAACAGGTGAAGTTCGACGAAAGCTTGCCCCAGACGGCGCCACACGGTGCCTATCGTAGTGCTTGTTGATCTGTAGATCTCATCCGCTAGGGACAAGACGGCCATGCGGAGAATCAACTGCTAAAGGCGTTTAAGACAGCCTATATGGTACCGGTCTTATTTTGAAATCCTCCGGGAATGAACGAGACGTCCAATGGATGTCGTTGCCAAGACTTCGCAAATCTATTTTCGATGTAAGCAATGCAACCACGAACCAGCCCATTCTGAAGCTTCAACAAGCCTTGCATTGGATCATGAGTTGGTGTCCTTGCAAGAGGCACTGGACCGTACTGGAGTGCTCAGGTCAGCCGGTGCAAGCAACTATCTCCTCGGGCTCAGACACGTGGAGCTGTACTTGTGAATAGCTCAAGAGTGGGCCGCAGCACATTCCACGACATCAGCGTTGCACTGAGGCAGAAGCTTCGCTCGAAGGTGGTCTAGAATGCAATATCATGAAAGCGGCGGCATGTCTGACCCGCGGAATCTTGCCAAAGGGCCTAGAGAAATAGGAGAAGCTCATCTTGAGACTTGCTATTTCTCTGCTGACTCCGTAACAAACCGAGGTTGGTCCTGGTCAGCATGGAGCGCATGTTGGTGCAGAGCTGCGGAATGGCAGGCCACGAAGGTTCTCCTTGAGTATCTTCCGCGGTATCCAGGCAATCAAGAAGCTCTGACTCAGACGTCCTAGGCAAAATGTTAAAGAGAAAGAACCAGAAACATACCGCAACTCCCGATCTTTTCCCGGCCTACCAACATCCCAGGTTCATCATTGATGGCCTTCAGGAGTTCCCTGAAGGCGAGTCCATGTCCGTCGGCCCGAAAGACATAAAGAAACCGTCGCCGACATTGCTGAGCGGTGCAGGCCCTGAGTCCCCTACAGCTGTAATGGAAACGCCATGCCTAACAGCGATCTCGCATAATTGTCCCCAGTATGTCATTTACCGTTCCTCAATGTCGATCATTTCGCGGTATGGTGTGCCAGGCTCTTGGTCGTTTGTGTGAGCCACATTCGATCGCGGGGATTGAGGGTGTGAAGTGAAAAGTTGGACCACGACTCTGGACGGTCAATTCATCTAGTTGAAGGTAGATGCCCGACTCAATCGCTCGAAAACTGGAGGGAACAAAGCACTGTGCCTAACACAATGTCGTTAGTTGGTGCAGCTAAGACAACGAAAGCTGCTCCAGGTCTTCCAATCTGCCACAAGTCAGTCTCGCAAAGGCTTGAGCCGGGTGCAATCATTACGTTCAATCATGTTTCACTCATGCTGCACTTGCCTCTCTCTTTGCTCATCGCCAAGCAAAGTCCGTTGAGTGAATAGCTTGAGCACCTGTCCACTGCGAGTGCCAACTTTGTCCACGCAAGAACGCTGCTGAGGACTGTGACGTTTCGTGACTCCAGGGAGATGTCTTTGTAGCCACGACAGCAACGATGCCAATGTTTATCACACATAAAGTCATCAAGATGAGAATGCTGCTGGTGCTGCCCCCAGCACTCTGTTACGTGCCTCTGACTTCACTGACGAGCGTTACCATCACTCTGACGTGTCTTCCAACGGTTGAACTGCACTTCGCTGCCTAGTGAAGCTCACCGCAAGGACCTGTTAGTGCCGGACCCTCCCGTCGGTCTCAAGTATATCTTCTGGCCGTCTCTTCGCTCAACTTCAACTTTTCTTCTTAAGCATTCGCGGTACGTCCACCATCCACCACCCACTTCCATCACCCATCACCCATCACCCATCACCATCCATCACGATCTTCATGTCTGGACATGGCTGACAATCATCACAGTAGTTATGTAGTTTGGCCTCGGCCAATGCGAATGTCGCCGGACTGCCATGTGAGGCTACCCTATAAGGAGGATGCGTTATTCGCGAGCTGGCCCCATTACCTCTTCTGCGATACTGCTAACATAGTCAGGCACCCGGGGCTCCTGCTTGGTCAACGGCGAGAAGTTGACGGCAGGGGTAGCCGGCCAGCGCCCATCGATGAGGACTCTTCCGAGATGGTTGCCCACGGTGCAGACAGAGACAGCACAACCTCGCTGTTCGGCTCGCTGGAGCGTGGTTCTCTGTGACAGAGGCACTGAGGATGAGCCTGCGGCTGGGTACCGTCTTCGGACAAACACACCGCAAAAGGCACACTTTTTGGAACCTTTCATATCTTTTCATCACGCGCTCGCGATTGCGGACACTTGGAGAAGAGTACATATCTGGCCTCACGTCTTCCACCGTCAGCCACCTCGTCCACAGACGCGATTTTGTCTGCGATACAGCAATCCTGCCACAGTTCTGCTTTGCTCCAGACGCCACCACCTTTTCTGCACGACCACAGATGCCTACCAACGCGATGTAGAGCAGCGATGGCGGCTGTATCTGCCAGAACCTGCGGGTGACGGCACGCTCGAAGAGACAGCAGCAGCACCATTCCCGTGAAACAGGCCCGCCAGAGATATTGCGTTCTCGATCGCACTGACGGACAGAGTAGCGCTTAAGACAGAAATCAACCTGAGCAGTGCCTTCAAGCATTCCAATGAAGCGTCACTGGCATCGCACCTCATGCGCCCCAGACGATCCGCCGTGAACGAACCCACCACCCGAATCTCGCCACTTCCCTTTCCATCGATGGAAACGAAGCCTCCGATATGCTTCAAGGCGACAAAGACCATTCCATACTTTCCACCAATTCGCCGTCGGCGGAAGGAGTCCTCTTGGGGCAAGAAGAACGAAGCCAGGAATGCCGTTTCGCACTCCTTACACATGCACGGCGCTGCTGCGATGCTGGTCGAGATGAAGAATACCATAGGGCTAGCCTTCTATATGACACATGAGCTTTGGACGGGAATAGTCTGCTTGGCTACGCGGAACCACAGCCATCCATAGTCGGCGACCGAAGCACGGAACTGGACGGCATGGAGTTCACAAGGTCTGCGCAAGAGCTATGGGGTCGATCTAGAGCATACATCAGGACAGGTAAGATGATGGACATTTGGAAGGCATCTGCAGGACGAGCATCAGATGTGCCAGATGCAGTCCGTTACACAGTCGCTCAAGGTTCCCCGGGTAGCTCATTGCAGTGGAAAGGCAACTTATGCCCTGTTTTATCCCATCAGAGTCGCCCACCCACGTACACACTGAACATCCCATCTTCATGGGGGATTGGCTCCTGCACAAGAGATTCGCTACAGTCTGCAACTCTACGCACGACTGTCGTGGACCAGACTTCGGTATAAGTCATCCCGACTGCTTTTCGACGCTGGATCTTGGAGGCCAAGAACATTGCACACTGCAAGCAGTATTCGAGGACCAAGAAGACTTCTGTTCTACGGCCATTGATACTAGCAATATCCGCCAATCGTTCCGTTTAATATTCACAAGAAGCATCTCACGACGACACTGTGCGGACGATGACCACCACTCGTCATGAATGATCCAACCTTAGCTCGATGCGTTTGCCCTACAACGTGGCTCAGCCAAGACTAAGTCCTGAGGTATCTCGAGACCTGGAGGCTAGAGAGTGACTAGATCTCGATACCGAAGAGAACTCACGATTGTCACCTAAAAAAGTTCAAATTCTCTCTTCCATGACTTGTTGTTCGATATGATTATTGTACTTTGTCCTTTGTTGTATTCGACCGCATGCGGTCGGAAAGAAAAAGTGACGGGTATTTCTTTGTCCTCTGAGCAGTTTGAGCGAGACGTGCAATTCTTGTGCCACGAAGCTCTCCTACAGAGTCTCACGAAGAAGAAAGCTGTGCAAATACACCATCGAGCAAGCAGAAATTGGGTACAATGCCTCCAAAGAAGGGCAAAGGAAAGAAGAGTACCAGCGCAAAGCCGGCAGCTCAAGCCAAGCCGGCAGCTGAAGCAAAGCCCGCGAGAAAACCGATAACCATCAAGATCCGCCGTACTATTGGCGATGGTCCCAAGTCCTCCGAAGGCTCTACTAATGCAGTAGCCGCTGCTGGTCCAGCGCCGACTCGATCTCTAAGACCTAGGCGTGCGGCGGCAATGCAAAGTCGTGACGCGCCATAAGACGAGCCATCCACCCAACCCCCTCCGACACAGAACGTAAAAGTCAAGTCCCAAGCAAAGAAGAAACCCCAAAAAATCCAAAAACCAACAGGACCTCGAGCACGAAGATCCCATCTCGTTTCAGACGAGCAATATCTTCGACTTCTACGAGTCAAGCGGCTGGTGGAAGCCAACAGGGATCTTTTACGTTTGGAACGGCTCGATGTTTTGGACAAACCGATTTCCACATTGTTTCAGGCGATTGATGAACTTGATGAGTTGGCGCCGGAGCCGAATGAGGTGGGGACACCGATTGTTGTGTCTGCTACGAAGTCAGTCGCCACCGAGGAGGCGGTAGCGGTTGAGGAGAATCAGAGTCCTTCGGCGGGTGGAGAGGAGGAGCAGCTTATGAGTGATGGCGAGATCATGTGAATGGGCCGATCGAGGTGCAAAGTGCTAGCAGACGAAGATGTCTTTTCAGATGAGGCTCAGATTTCTGCTGGGAAAGGTCGTGCCAGGGAGTGTTGGAAGCAATCGGAAGACTGTGCAGCAGACATACATGTGGTATTTTAAGTCTCGAGTGGCAGTCGTTCGGGCGGAGGTCATGGCAGTAGAGTTGGAATCCTCGCTTCGTCGTCTTAAGCGTTCCATGCAGATCTAGCACTCCACAGCGTTGGTCTGCGAAATTGCAAACCTTGGAATAGGGTCGTCCGCAGAGCTGCTTGCTTATATAGCTTCTTGTCGTCCGTCAGGGGCTCGATGCATGGAGCAGCGCTCCTTGACAGTCTCGTGCGATGACCGTGGTGATCCTTCCTGTGCTCCGTCGGATGAAATATGAGTCTCTTCGCGCAGGTAGCTACACTCGATTGCTGTATGTCCTGCACTCGTGGTTTGAGGCTCTATGCGCGAAGATCCCTGTCCGACCGTTGGGCTGCTGCTGGAAGCTCGATTCGTCAAGGTGATAGATTTGCGGTTATAGCAGCCCTTTCTGCCACACGAACAAGGACGAGACATTGAAACCTCCCGCCGAGAAGAACAACTGCGCAATGGCATTCCCGATCGTCCTGCTCCCAAAATCCGCAGAGCTGGAGTCAATGCCAGATACAAGCCGAGACGAGTTACAAGCGAGGATATATGACACCTGCGAAGCCCTCACCACCACCATCAAGGCGGTCAACAATGCTATGAAAAAGATAGATGGCGAGGCATACCAGTTCTCGCCTGCGTTGCGCAACTGGAGGGCGATGCGTTGGGAGAAGCTTTTTCGTCGCTCAGGTGGGCCATCACGACGAGCTGGCGAGCCTCACTGGATGAGGAGCATTCGTCGCGACTGCACCGTCCGGGAGATCTCCCAGCGAGGCTTTTGGGCCGACCACACTCGCAGCGGTGAGCAAGCAGAGTTCACCGCTGCTGTGTGTGCGCTCTTCGCGGAGTGCGTATCCAAGCTACCCAACTTCCATCCAGTGGTGCTGATTACTGCTACAGAGCACGAAAGCTTCCTCACTTCCTGGCGGCGGAGAGAGTGAGGCTTCGCAAGCAGATCCGGGCCTCTCTGCTTTGGAACGAAGATCCGTGGCAGTCAAGCGACCTCCAGGACATCTGGAAGCAGCTGGTCGTTCTTCGAAGTGGTTTGACGCGCACAATCACTTCCTGCGCCGGGGACATCGCTCCGGTTCATGGCTTCTTACCATGAGACTCGCTTCTGTTTGGCGTCGTGGAGAGATTGGCGCAGGAGGGCATGCCAAAAGCCAGAAAATGGGCGGTGCCTCTTCACCGTGAGTTCGGAAGGGGAGTGTCCTGTTTTGCTAATAAGCAAGTGCACATCTGTTGCTGGCCTTTGCGAAGGCGGCAGATGTGTAGGGAAGTCAGGACTTTATACCTCCACGTGGTTATTCCTGGGCGATGTCTGCAAAGATACACTACTTTGCAGATAGACTCCAGCTCTGCCAGTTCAAATCACCATCGTCGAAAGGAGCCATGTGTTCACTGGACGACTCGACGCACTTCCGCCGTATATGGCCCTCGCAGGGAATCAGATCTCCGTACGAGCCTCCGAGGACCTTCCGCCAACAGAGACCGGCCCGCTGTGGAATCGATCACTACGGAAAACAACTCCTGGCTTCTCGCTCTGCCATGGCACCTACATCGAATCCAGTCCATCCTTTTGGCCCTCCCCTTTGAGAAAGAGTGGGGAAAGTATAGCACTCCGCGATCGCTCTGGTTCTAGGACTACGAGATCGATCTACTAGCCTATAACCGACTGGTACAGAGCTCCTAGCTAGCAATTCGTAATGAACAGTGGGCAAGATGTGGCGGTCTTTCCCGAGACTGGGACTATCACACAATTCGACCCTCGTCATCTTCACGAACACTCTGGTGTGCACCAGGGCTTTGAGCCTTGACCGTTTGCTCTCAGCTGCCGAATGGTCTTGATGGACCTGCACCAGAACGACTCACTCAGATTCAACCGGCTTCGATCATTTCGTGGAGAGGAGGCATCCAAGATGCCTGCACTTGCTTTCTGCCTGACACATTGCCATCGGCATCATCCATCTCACGACGTCCTGTTTGCCACGAGCATCCCCAGACCATATCACAGTCTTCCCGATAGCGCGACCTGTCCACCCACTCGAGCAGGGGTTCGCACACGAGCGAGCTGTGATGCATCTCTCTACCGCTCATGTGCCAACGACCCTTTCCTTCCTGGCCGACCAAAGGTTTTCGGCAGCACCCACTTCTGTCTTCAGCACTCGAATACCGCATCGAGACCAACAAAGCACTCGTGTGAAGACTGGATCGAGGTTTGAGACATCTAAGCTCATAGTGTTTCGACCGACAGCCTCACAGCGTTGCAAGAGACCATGCTGCCTTGGCGATTCCCAAAACGGAAGGTCGATGGAGAAAAGCCACGGCTTGGCAAAATATGCCCCAAACATCAGAAGTTCGTCAGTGGAATTACTGTGACCTGGACGGACAGAATTGGATGTCATTCTTCTCGATTTACGGCAAGGAGTACCAAGCCCCTCTCATCATTGGTGGACTGCACTGGCGCGGGGCGGACGAGATAGCAGAAACATTGTTCAACAGCCAAAGGAGCGGGCAACGAAACGACATCGATTACGTGCCTAAAACTTCGAAAAGCAGGCATTTTGCGCTGTTTCCAATATGCAATTATGTCAAAGAACTTTCTGAAAGTGGCCAGAGACGGGCAGGTAAAGGGCTTGAAAGATCGGCAGGCAACATAGCGTTACCAGAAGCTTTGGTGAAGTCATGACTGGCACGGAATACTTAGCAGTGTTTGTTTCAACCCTGGAATATCGGAAGCGGAACATTTTCCACAGAGTTCACTTCTGGTGTGCATGACCAGTGCCTGAAAGATTTCTATCGAGCTTGATCCACTTGTTCTCATCCTTTCGAGTGTCTTGGCAGAGCACAGGTGAATCTATGCGAGACTGACCTGAGGAAGTCGACAAGGTAGTGACTGCACGCGGTCCAACTTGTACAGGAGTTCATGAATTCCATTTGGAGTAAATAAGGTATTCTCAACACGTCGTGAACTTCTAGTGACTTTTTTTCTGCTATGGACGAGTGCTGTAATGTATGTGAAGCATTACGACCAGTGTTCTGCCAACAAAGACTCCCTACTACGTTCGATGTTCTACGGTCTTTCCATCGATACTTGAGGGAGCAGGCACGGGAGTGGCCGAGAAGGTCGATGGCCAGCGTGCTTCATACGAAAACAAAATTGTCCGCTTTCCATGGCCTCTCCAGTGCGTTTGAATGCAGGCAGATACCATACAGTGGCGATAATTGCGATGCAGCAGTCCATTGACGCATCTTCAGCAGAGCTCTTTGAGGGTATCCAATGGATCAGAACGAACAGAGTCAGCAGTACGTCTACTCAGGGGCTGCTTCAGCTAGTTTGAAGGAAGGTGCTGCGGATCTTGGATGTTTCTCCTGAGCCAGGAGTTCAGAGGGAGAAAAGATGTCCAACATGAGGTCAACCGTTGGCATGATCTCCGTTCACGGCAAGAGCGTGATGAGGCAACAGTGCGTAGCCCTGAGCACAGCGAAAGTGCTTGGCATCGACCCACAAGTTAGAGCTTTGTTTTGATTCTTTCGCCTTCTTCTTCTTCCCATCAACTTCGCAACACACCAACCACAACACCTTCACAAGACCACTTCATCCACACACCCGTCTCTTGCAGAGACTGAGAAGACACATGCTGTCGAGAGGCGCGTCTTCTAATGGCAACTCTAGCTTACCGTCGGGCAGGTATCTCGTGCGCGTCCATCGACGCCGCCCCTGACCACTTTCAGAGCAGTCTCTGTCGGTATGCACCGTCCGCCCACCAGTATCAGACTCACGCTAACAATGTCATAGGCTGGCACATGGAAGCCACCAAAGCACTCCTCGCGGCCACTGCCCCTTCAGGCAGAATGACGCGTCAACACACGACATTTGTGTACAGCGGCCGGCAGCTTTGCTCCATCGCCGCAGCATTCACACTGGCTTGACTGCAACTCTCGCAACAGCCTTCAATATCACGCAACATAACTTCTCCTCCAACTTCCCCCATTTTCATTTCAATTCTTGGCTGACATCCACCGTAGAAAAGCACAACCACACCGGCATCTGCCCAGGAGACGGACTTTGATAGTACGTGCCGCACTCCTGCCGTTGCCATTACATTGCCGAAGATTAAAGCACGTGTGGTGTCCACCGGCGGCGGCGCTGCTGACTGCCTCGACCGGGTCTGAAGCGCCTGGGCGTCCGCACGAAACAACCCTTTTCTTTCATCGTTGTCTTCGCACATGAAAAGAGCTTGGGATGCGGAGAAGGAGATCAAACTCACACCACCGACACAGATGGGGCTAAGGCTTACTTTCATGCCGATGCCCGCGAGAGGTGTCGCAGATCAACAGTCGTGGAATCCAGTGTCGACGACGCCACTGACTGGTGTAGCGCTTCATCGCCTTATCCTATTGTGTCAGTTGGTGTCTGAGATGAATGTGATCGCGGCACATCCATGCATCGTCTTCTTTCATCGTACTTCGTTTGCGTTCTCGTGGCACGGAGAAGGGACCATAGCACGTTTGCAGATTTTGCTGCTTCGTCTGACCATCGGCATCGACATTAAGACCAGGCCGTTCAATGCCGACGTCTTTGAGCACGATGCCGAAGATTGATGCAGAAGGGCCCTAGGCCGTTGAGTCTTGCTCTGACCTCTTCGACCTTTCTCCGAAACTAACCCTGAGATCTGCCATATTTCTTTTCATCGCTTTTGAGCCTTTCGAGACTTGAAATCGGAGAAGAGATCTACTGAATTGTCTGGAAATGCTTAGAGACCTGCGACAGTACCAGTCTGCGTGATTGGAGGGTACTCCATGGGCAGAGCCACGCTTGTATTCTATAATGAGCTATCTGATCGAACTGGCCGAGATAGGCCTACATAGTCGCCTGTCTTCGCAGCGTAAAAAACAATATGATCGGGGTGAGTGAACGCAGGGTGCTCCACACCGATCAACAGCTATGTATGAGGCGAAGGGGGCCTTTTCAGCGCCTCGATATCTCATCTCTCTTCGTTTTCAGCTCTCTATCGGCCGATGTAATAGACGAACGCGACGCCTTGGACATCGTTCTCGTGCCAAATCACGCGCATCCTCCTTATGAACGCCCATCCTCCTCATGATGGATCTGCAGCTCTCCTTGCTATCCTCTCAAAGCTCACCAAATAGAGCCTCTAGCGCAGCCTCCTTGCACTCCATGTCCTACTCACTCAACCAACCAGGTCTATAGCCTTCCCTGTCATCCAAGTAATTGCCGTTTGCCGGAGCTTTGAGAATCGAGATTCCATTGATCTTATCATGCTTCCAAAACTCGCTCGCGTCTTCCATTTGCGCAAGGTACTTGTCGGTCGCGCAGGATCCCCTGAGTTTTTAAAGAACCTCCATCAGCCATTTGTGAACTGCACGGTGCTCGCTCGTGATACGTACCTATTCAGTCGTTACTGCTGTGCCTTGTCCTCTTGGTGGTGTCGCTGAGTTTTGTGAGTCTATGATTGAATATAGGTATCCCCTGGGTACCGATTGCAGACCCCTTGACCGTCAATGTCTCCTTCAAGAGCCGTGGTTGCGAAAATGTATTTGAGAGTCTGTCCAGAGAGACAACAAGGTTGTAGGCATTGATCGTGATATTCGTGTGACGCTCGGTATCTGCGGAATGAATCCGAACCCATTGTCGAGGTCGGTGGTTTTGGTGGTAATTGGATCGAGTTCGATGCCTTTCTCCTTCCAGACGCTCCGTGTGCCCCCTTTGACTCCTCCGCAGCAGCGTTCCTGCTTTCCGTAGACGTCTGCATGGTGGTAGTCCGATGCGATATGTTGTATAGATTGCAGGCTGAAGAGCGAGAGGAGCGGCGTGTGTCGTCCAAAGATGCAAAACTTGGCGTTCTCCCTGTGTCTCATGCACGTATCCGGAGTCGGACGGCTGCTGTTTGCAGTCGTCAGTAGAGATTCATTGCACCGTTGCAGGGGCGTTCTGGTGGCAAAAAGCGCAGAAGAAGACAATTGGTTCAAGGAAATGTGGACCATTGTGATAATGAAGAAAGGCTGGAAGGTAGACGTGAGGGAGAGCGGCATTGGTGATCCTCTATCACTCACTTCATTCGAAACACGCTCTGCAAATCTGGTGAAGGTGGGCCAATGGCCTATTAACCAGTCCATTCAGTTCAGTGAGCAGCTCGAGAGATGTAGATTGTCGAGCCAGTGCTGCCAGAAGTATGGATTGAGTGCAGGTGTGGATGTCCTTCCCACTCTCTCCCGGACCCTGACTTGGAGCTTCACAGCAACCGTTGGAAAAGCCCCAAGGACGAGCTTGCCGCACCGGCAGGTCCCGTAGTAGGATAAATTAGCGCATTAAATTCTCGTACAATCACCGCACCAGTCATGCTTGCCACATGACTGGTGTGGGTGAGTGGAACACTTGCTAACGGTTGTCAGGTCGAAGGACGTAGTCATGGTAGAGACCGCTCTACCATGATGAACCTTTTGTCTCTTTTTTGTCATCAATTCGCAGTTTCATGGTAATGGTGCGTAGGAGTGCTGGTAACATCTTTTTGATATGAAATCTTTTGGAAGCCGCGCGTCGGATTCGAACACTTTTTTGATAGCATATCTTTTTGCAGCCACGCGTGCGGTTCGAACACTCTTCAGCTTTTCAGCCTCCAATTGATTGTCATAGTACGATGAACCTCTTTGAATTTTTGCCATCTGTTCGCAGCTGAGATAGGGGAGTGCTGGCCGCATCTTTTTGATGTCAAATCGGTTTGAAGCCGCGCGTGGGACTCGAACACTCGTCACTGTTTCAGCCTGAAACTCATGGTGCTCACACAGCAGGACTTGACGAGCCCGCTGCTTTTCAGTTCCTTTCGCTTTTGAGAACTTGTCATGTCCGGACCTCATTACAGGAACCATTCATTGACCTCGTACATTTCACGCCTACTTCCTCACTGTCTTGAAGAAATTTCCAGCGCTCTTCTCACACCGATCTCTTCGCCTCCGCTACGTCAAGACATGCCGCTACCTCTTAAATCACGAGCACAGTCAGTTTGCCTGGATATTCACATCGTTGTGTAGGAGATTCTAGACGCCCTGGTTCCGGAACACTCCAGTACATGCAACTTGCCAGTGGAGACAATATGGCGCGAAGGAAAATGAAGAGCACAGCAGGGACGTGAGGAGTCTGTTCCTGTTGCTAGTGAAGAGGCACCACACCTCAGGGCGATGAAGAAGCTGAGACAGTTGATGATGGCGCAGAGGCAGACGGGGATAATGAAGGCAATGATGGCGAAGACATCAAGAAGAAGCCTCAGAAGGCCAAAATGACCAACAAGAAGAATAGCTATATCATTCTCCCGCCTGGGGAGGGATACCCAATTCGCATTCCACACCCACACCCGATATGAGGCGGAGATATTCAGGCATGCGAAAGCGCTGGCTTGCCCGACAATTCCCTCTGGCGAGCCGTGAGCAAATTCGATGAAGCTGGAAGGTTCGATCAATCTTCAAATGCGCCAGGCTTTCTTGTCAACAAATCCATGCTTGATCTACGACACTCGCCTCAACCTACATCGACTTCACAGTCTTATAACAAGTGGCTTAACACCATTTCTGCCGCAAAGCTTACGTTGAAAGCCGCGCACGTCGACTGGAAGAGATAAATCGATATCGTGGCAATGCCAGACCACGTCTTGGCCAATATGCGAGCCTACAAGACCCAACATGAGGAGTCTAGGACGATACTGTGCTTCTATACGAGATCTGCAGGTATATGCACAAGACAAATGCCTACTAGCGGGAGTTGGTTTCGTCTGGATGGGTTTTAACGAAGTCGTTCTTGAAAGCGAGGGACATGGCCTCGGTCATAGTATAATACCGCCATTATTCTGCCCCAAGTTGATACAACCCCTTTTCCTCTAGCAAAAGGCTTTCCGCCGTCATTTTCACAGTAAACATGTCCGAACTTCCAAAGTTGCGTCTTTTGTCGCTCAGCCTTAAGAAACTGGCGGAGCAATCAAGCTGCGGCTCTCAATTCCGTATTTGGAGTTCGCATAGCCTCTGTCGGCGTCGATTCGAGCGGCTCGGAGTTGGTTCTCGCCGTGGGACGGACGGATCAAACGACGAGATCTCATGCCGCTCGGTACGATCTTCGCGTACAGCTCCCATGCTCAAGAAGTTGATATACGGCGATCATAGAGAAGGTGATCCTACTGTGCAGCTGCTGAGCTCCGAGCGTCTGCGAGAAGTCTGCAACTCAAGCATTGCTGACGCGGTAAGCCTCTACTCGTCTTTGAACCAGCATGGCAAGTCGTAGCAGTTTGCGGTCCAGTCGAGGCGTGTGTTGAACTGCTAGCGAGTACCATTTTTAGGGACGTCCGCGCTACGAGTCACAATCTCAGCGATCAACGCGCAGACTGCGACAAGGCCCACCTTTGCTTCGTCCCATGCTGGGATAGCCGTGAGGACTTTGTACAGAGCCCTGTACGCAAATAACGTAATGCCTCGATCGAATGAACGCCAATTCAGTTTCATCAAACACTGCGCCCCAGCCGTCATCGTAGCAGCAAATCCACACTATTTCTTCGACCGAAAGGACGTCTCACACGTGGTACGGTGTATCACCACGGAGAGGAAGTGGGCCGACGAGCTCTATAGGCGATGGAGAACTTACAGGCAGATCGGCATACCGTGCGAAGATCTACAGCAAAGCCACATACCTGCTTTCGGATGAAGTCGAGCTCAGCATCAGCTCCATCTCTTTGCACAACCCTTAGACCTCAGGTCTCGGCGTATATATGGCAGAGGTGTGATCAGATATTCGGAACCATGGAAGCTCTTGGTGATCTGATAGAAGCAGCCATGTGGGACTTGCAGTCAGAACTCGCAGATGATTGATCGAACTTTTGAAAGCGCCGTTGAATTGAGTCGCGTGGTATGGTATTTGGGTCGGAGCCCGGCAGCGAGAGCTCGTCAGCTGAATCATATCCGCGACTGGCGAGTAAGTCAGCTTCGCAGCGTCCAACATACCGAGTTCACCAGGCCAGACCCAATTCCTGCTGCATTGCCTAGAGTGGTTGCTTCGCTTTGGCATCGAAGATCAAAGAGAACCTCTCGCCTTGCCAGTTGCCGAGAGATCCAGAGATGGATAAATCTGGGAGGTGCTCCTCTACGAATCTTCGGAATTGATGCAGAGGCGATCCTCCTGCAGTGAATGAGGACTGAAGTTCTCCTGGCTTCGACACGATCGGAAACGTCTCGTTCATCATCTCAGGTCAGTCTGCTGGATCTGCACGAGTCTAAGGCTGCAGAAGTGAATGCAGTAAAGGATAGCAAAAGTCGGGAAAGGGAAGAACTCGCAACGGCTGTTGCTCGCGAGAAAAGAACGTGTCTATGGAAAAGCCCTTTTCTCGGTTCATCGCAGCGTAATTAGGTAATTTTCCTTCTGCACTTGTGCCAAACTGGCATATGGGCCGTGTATTCCGGCTGGACTCATGCCAGGTGCCGTCTTCCAGGCCTCATTGTTCTCCGTGACGTGGTCGAACTCGAACTTAGACAGGAGGAACCTGGTTTCCTTAGAAGGTGGCTTGTTGTAGACGTCGCGCTTCTTCTTGCTGTAGACGTTGCTCTTCTCCTTGTCGTTGAAGTTCACGTCGCGTCCGAGCTGGAGCTGAGCATGCACTGTATCGATTAAGAAGGTGTTGCAGTGGTCGGTCGCTATGCGTGTGAGTGCCAGACTGAGGATAATGTAGATTGCCTAGCCTATAGGCGTCGAGACTATTTCAGACGTCGAGGCCATCGCAAACGTGAAGGCTATCGCAGGCGTACACTTAAATACCAGTAGTCCTATCATTTCGACGAGTGCGCTAGTAACACCTAGACCGAGAAAAAACGAATAGAACTCGGCGAAGCGGCACAAGACGTTGCTCGCATATAATCCGAAGCCTACTTGAGGGACTTGGTGTTCTCTATGGTCGAGGCGTGCTATATCTGCTGCCTGTTGATTTGCGACCTGTTTTAAATGTTGCTCGATATCAAACATGAGCAGCACCAATATCATACCACCAATCACCGCTACCTTGTTCCTATGTGAGTGCAGCGGACGGGTGCATCTTGTTGTCCGCGTACATGGTGGCGAGTACGTGGCCTGGGATGTCGTTACAGTCGGTTCTTGTTGGCCATTCGATCTTTTATGCGTGGAAGAAGGTCTTTCCCCATCCTAGCCGCTTCACGTATTTTCCGTCGCTGGGCACATAACATTACAATGTCTCGTCTGACACCGCTCATCCCGACTCTGAGGCTTGCAGCGTTGAATCCGATCGATATTGGAGATGGTCAGATCTGGTGCTGATTTAGGTATCTGTAAGGCTCACGTCAACATGGAGTAGCTCGATCGACTCTGAACGTGGTCATGAAAGAGGATTATTCCAATGGAAGTCGTCGCGCGAGGTCGATGCCTCCACCGCGGAAATGCTTATGATATTCAAGCAAGACAGGAGAGGTGTTTCCACGCTCTCCTCCTCTTCACCCGTCTACCGCGCTCACAGATTGGAAAGCTGCCGTAACGCGGCTTTCTCCTCGTCTTCATAGAGCCAGAAGATGCCCAGAGCGCACATCACCCTCTCGACCGTTGGGTGGTGGAACTGGCAGCCCACCGTCACAGCTCCCACCAGCGCCTCCAGCGTCGTCGATTTTTCTCGTGCTGTCGGTGGTGTTCCGAACAGCACCAAGTCGTTCGTGGCGTTGAACAGGTTTGAGTTCGTCGACCCGCCAAGCCTGGAATCGCTGGGTGGCGAGGATGCGGCTATACCAGAAATTCCAACCGGCTATAATTCATGTGAGCAGTTGTCTCAATACTCGGACATTCACTGAAGAGACCCACCAGTATTGTATTGTGCTCCGTCGTCGATCCATTGGGCAGCCAGCTTCGTCTTTATCTCAGCGTCGCCGGTGATGGCCAACAGCTGATTTGGGCTGCGCATGTCGAGGTCGCGATATGCAACGGCGGTGTGGAGGAGGTGGTGGCGCACGAAGGTGTACTCATAGCCGTCCGAGAAGGTCAATCTTGCCAATGAGGAGGACGGGGGAGCCACCAAGGTCACAATGACCGTTGTTGGAGGGAAGGCGTTTGGGGGCGGCGGCGGTGGTGGTTGGTGTGGCGCTTGAGTAGAAGCCATTTCGTCTCTGGTGGTTTGCGAGAGGAAGATGCAGAACGATTGACGCGATGAGGAAACGGGATTGATGGTGTCGGAGTCGGTATGGTGGCAGTAAGTTGTCCTCTTTGTCGTGAATTCGTCGAAGTTGTCGAACAGCTGCAAACCTGCGAAATCAAAGAAGCCTCTAGACGGATGTTCTCAACACTTGGACTTCTTCTCCCAGCTCTTCCGCACTGGTAGAGCGTGATGAAAAAATCAATTGGTCTCGATACGAGACGGCAGTGTCAATAGACAGCCAAAGCCCCCTGATTCCAACTTGTAGGATACCCGGTAAACCATTCTGCTACTGCAATCTCAGGGGAGGGGAGGGGGGCAAGGGAGTGATGAGGAGACGCCAGCAGAAGGCATTACAGGATCCATTCTGTTCGATCTCGAGCCAGACTTTCGACAACTTCTTCCCGAAGGTCGAATTTGTGATGTGTCTAGTATGCCCACCTGTTGGGTCACACTTTGACTCGTTGTTGTTGGCAAGGTGAGGAAGTTCTAGCGGCACAAACGTGAAAGTACAGAGCCAGAGCGATACGTCAGATGGCTGTGGCAACCATGCAGGTTCAACGGTCGTTGCTAGGCATCGATGCGCTAAAGTGATGCGAATAGGCCTGCTGGAACCCTTCAAAGTAGGACATCTCCAGTTATTTCTCGAAAGCCTTGCAACGATGTATCCTCCTGTTGAAGATGTCACGAGTCAATCCGTCTTGACCAGAATCGTCCAGACATAGATGTAGCTGTATCGTCATGTGGCTTCAGCGTCCTCGCAGCACAACCACGAGCACAGGGCTCCTGAGGCTGTGTACTGAGCCTCTCCCGAGTGACACCCACTAGCGCCCGCTACTCCGAGCCATTGAACTGGATGCGGTGCGGTGCGGTGAGCTTTTCCCTGTGGCTGTTGCAATCTCTTCGTTTCAGACTCTTCCGCCAGCTTTACACCCTCCAACTGCAACATCAGTCATGTCCTTCTCACACTCTTTTTTGTCTTCTTCCATCACTTCCTACACAGATCATCACCGACGCCAATCTTGCCATTACACCGATGCGTTGTGGTGGCGCCATCGCACTGCTGTCCAGCAGAGTCTGAGGTGACTCCCCTCACGCGCATCCACGACAATGAACCAAACAGGGACCGCCAGCACAATCTCAGCCTGCAAGGCGTCGATTGAGCCCAGTGTGTCTTCCTCGATCAGGTAAGTTGTCCGCGGCGGCGCCACTTGCTACGCGTCGAATCGATCACGTCAAGAATGGCGGCTGACATGTTCTTTCGCAGTCCCATCGCCCTTCCGTCGAGACCTGACCGCCATATTGGTAAGTTCTTAATCCACCTGCTTCTGCTTCACCCATCCGCTTCTCCTTCACCCACCTGCTTCTACTTCACCCACCTGCTTCTGCGACCCGCCCGCCAGTTCAAAAACGTCCCACTTTGCTCCATGTGGCGAGGCGTAAAACTGATGGCGAAGATCAACATCTGTCCGCAAAGCCAGTGTAATGGTGCTCAAGCCTTTATGGTTCGATGCCATCGCCGCGGTGGAGCGGCAGTGTCGCGACTCACGGGCTACCGTCCGTAGCTGGCGTCCGGCTTGACCATTTCACTTCGGTCGAGCAAAGATGGGCGTTGGCAGGCAAGTCGCGCACATCCCAAGCTGAGATTCCAGTCGAAGCATGACCGAATCGCGAGTGCTTACCAGAATAGTCGTCACTCACGAGGATTCTGAGCTCTCTACAACACCCATTGACGATAATCTGCTGACCAATGTCTCATCTCAGGAACCATTGACAAGTGTGCTGCCATCAGCACTTCATCGGCTTCACCAGGTATGCCACCACACAATCAGGAGCTTGCTGTTCCATCACCCACCCAAGAGGCGTCACCACCAGCATCGGCGGCGATCATGCGCACCTCGCCTCCAGAATCGCTGCTAGCGACCACGCATAAAGCCTGTAAGATGTTCAGTAGAGGCGCTCGAAGGTAAGCACACAAACAGCACGGACACGACACTTGACCCTCTCGGTTGCCTGGCTTGTCCATTTCCATGACATTCCAGATCTCATTTGAGGGAAGATCAAACAAGACTGTCTCGACAGCGCCAAGAAAGCTACTCAGCCTTTCATGGTCGAGAGCGGAGGTGGCGCTGGAGAGCAGCAACTGTGCGGTCTCAGGACCCTGACTTACCCTGACCTTGTTCTGCGCGACGGGAGGCGTGCATCTGATACCAGCACAGACATTTCTCGCCCTGCAAAGCGATGTTGCACTGAACAAAGAACTCTCACTGACATGTCTCACAGGGTTTAGCAATCGTACTTTCTTGCCCTCCTCTATCGCGTCAATTTGCTTGCTTCCATAGCATCTTGACTTAAGCCTTTCGGAGGGAGATCGATCTTGCAAGGCAGCCGATATCTTGAGAGTGCTCAATGGCTCGTGAGACGGCCATCTTGCATACATACCTTGCTTTGACGTTGCGAAGATTTGCCAACACTCAAGAAATTCAGAGCGCTGACTACCTTGGCAGATTCGGAAACTTCGCTGTTCATCTATTCACAAGATGCTAGCATATCTACTCGAATCTCTCACCAGTCTGGCCATTCTGCATATCTTGCAATTCGGATCCCATACTTGCTCCAAAGCTACGATAGGTAGGTACTGCTGTCCCTGCGCCAGCTCCAGCACCTTCACCCAAGATGTCTCGATGACTCGTCGTCGCCTTCGATCCAAACTTGACCTGGCTCGTCCTTCAATGACGACTCAGTGATCGGACGAAGGAAGAGCAGACAATAACTCTACGAACCCGATTTGCGCGTGGTTCCAAGAGTCGTTGTGACGCGATATTGATACTTGGATGTGTTGAGGTGAATCGTCGCACTGAGCAGAACAGAGTCGCATACATACCACCTGGCCTATACAAGCCGCAAACCAAATTTCCCGGAGCGGAGAAGGCTAATGATTCACAGGAAAACAATGCTCAGATCATCCTCTGTCCCGCGATACGATACTACACACCCGACTTGTCCTTCTATGACACTTCGGCTCTGGGGCGGAGGTAGAATGAAGCATGACGAGCTGGGAGAGGGCAATGCACAGTGTTGTCTTTCCAGATCCTTGAGGTCAATGGGTTTGAAGAAGTCTCCACGCATACATTCTCGACATCGCGTCTCACTCCAGATAAGGCTAACTTTGCGGAAATTTAGGCACATCAATCTTCGCCTCCGTTGCTACCAAGAGTCTCACTCTGCCGACCTGTCTTTCCCATGACTTGTTGGTTTCAGCACGGAAGGCAGAGCGAAGCTTGACGAAGCCCTTCAGTGGGTGTCGCAAGCTGCCGCGACATGAATCTCAATGCTAGGAGGTCATTGCATGGAGAAGAACAGGTCGCATACATTTCCATTCCATATACTCCGCGCAGATTCATTGTTCAGGAAGAATAGGCTGACATCGGACACAGGCAGAATTTTCAAGAAGAACAACAGGGAACAGGCTGACAGCAGACGCAGGCAACATTTCCAAGAAGAATAACAGGCTGATATCGGACACAGGCAACATTTTCAAGAACAAGAGCAGGCTAACAGCACACACAGGCAACAGATCACCTTCGTCTCTACCAAGCATCTCACGCTGCCGACTCGTCCTTCTCATGACATGTTGGTTCTAGGACGAAAGGAAGAGCAAAGCTTGCGAAACTGAACCCCGAGTCGTCGAGGTCAATCGGCTGGGGGAGAAAAATTCGCATACATATCCCTTCACACTCCCCCTCCTTTCAGAACATGGGCTGACTTCGTGTACAGGCAAAGATCACCTTCGTCTCTATTGGGATGCTTATTCGCCGACCTGTCTCCGCCTTCTTACCTCACCAATCATGGACCAAGCTGACAGTGAGTTGTCCCAGCGATAGCCAAATCCCCTCCACCTATACTGGCCGGCTCGTCCCTTCTCCATGGCTTGTCGATCTCGAGGTGAAGGGAAATCGAACCACAGCAGATGAGACCTAACTGCGTATCTGAACGGCTGGTGACTTGTCGCCGCCGGCAGTAAAAAGCTTCTGACGCTGGCGAATGACCTTTGACTCTTGGATGCATTGAACTTGTTGCACTGGGAGAATCTGGTTCGCGGACATTTTGTTTTTTTCATAGAACACAGCATCAATTGTAAGTAGACGGGAAATTTCAAGGTTTAACGTTATTATTGCAATCGTTACTGTCTACATTCTAGTTCTTTACACTTCCCATGCACCACCACAGTCTCGAATGGTCACGGTACCGTCTGCCACGCAGACCTACTTGCCATTGTTGTGGGAATCAATTCTCCACCACTACGCGAGGTCCGGGTCAGCAACAGCCTCCAGGCACAGAAAACGTAGCGGACTTGACTCACCTGACAAGCATTCCTCCCATACCTCCCAGAATTAGCCCCGAACTCGTTTCCTCGACCACAAAGCTCATAAAACTGAGACTTGCAATACTCTGCCACAGATCAGCCACGCATGCAACACACACATACTCCTCGACTTACTCTGCGGAACCCACTGAGCGGGCTTACAGTCCCCATTAATCCTCACCGTCGCAAGACGATTATTCGACTTGACTCCATTGCGGGAATAAGCCGAACCGACCACCAGATTGGTTTTGGAACAGAACTTGTTGATTGCTTCGTAGACGAAACGGTTTTTGAAGTTGCAGAAGGAGCCGGGGGAGATTTGGGCGCCGGCGGCGGAAGCCATTTGGGGGATGGCGAGGGCAAAGAGTGCGAGAAGGAGAAGGGGGATGGAGAAGGTTCTCATGGTGCCGGTGGTTTTGCGTGCTGCTGGGGATTGAACGGCAAAGGTTGAGATTTTGGAGAGGACGGAGGAGACGGGGAAGAGATGGGGACTTTGAGTTGCTGCCAAGATCTATTGAGGGTTGTATGCGGATGGGGCGTGACCGGATTGTGCTGACAATGGGATAAAGGGACTTTGAGGATTGGGATGCCAAGACGGTGGTGGGATGGGAGATGGCTATTCAAGATACGCTATGCGCTCGGTGTACTGCGTGAAACTCTCAGAAGGGCTTGTTCAGGCCGCAAGCGTGGTGTTGAGTTGGGGAGCTCGAAATGTTCATGCTGGTTGCCGTTGCCAAGACCACAGCAATTCCTGCTTCTTCGCGATCGGCGATTCCAGCAACGATGCAAGTGTCCCCAGCACTGGCGCATTGGTGAGAGCATCACCAGAGATGGTGAGTGAGATGCTTTGATGGCAATCAGTCAACATTCTTGCATCGCTGTCTCCTTTCACATGCGTACTTCCTAAAAGGCAAAGGATGAGCTGAAGTCGGATTTCACTTCAAGGTTCCAGCGCGGTCTTGGCGTTTTGGCCTCAGGCTAGAGTCAGCTGATTAGCTTCTCCACCGTGTCATCACGGTCGTCTTCCTCGCTCTCCAACGCCGACTGTAGCCGCCATTAGCATTCACCAGTGCCACCATCCTGTACCCGCTGATGAGCTTGTGATAAGGAATGGCGGGCACAGACTCCGAATGGTATGTATTTGAAGGAACCGTGATGACGCGGATGGCAGTGATAAGTACCACAAGTCTCTCTTTGTCCTCAGTCTTCTGCAACTCCTCACATATCGACCTACACACTCTTCGTGAGACAGGCTATGGCTACAGTAATGAGATCAACCAGAGCGCTGCGAGCGGAAGCTCGTTCGGTCGAGCGCGCAGCTCCCAGACATACTCCGAAAATCTGCAGAGCGACAGCTTCTACAGCACACCCACGGCACCATTCAACAAAGCGACAACTCCATTCCACATCTCAAAATGAGCACGCCGTACCTCTCTCGATACCCACCGCCGCCGAGTCGACATTCTCATATGCCGAAAGGGCGCCGACCATGGCACCTCTCTCGGCGCTACCAATATCGCAGATCCTCCGTTCATACCTGATCACAACCATGTCCAGTCACCCGACTCTCTTCTCCGCCTCCACGGGTCTCCTGCGACAGATGCTCGAGTCTTCAAACCCACTCCTCAACCTCAAAAATCCTCTCATGCGAGCAGTCCTGTGGGAAACATTTTACAAGCAATTCTGTGCAGGCGAGAATCAAGCGCAAGTCTCACAGCGATGCGAGGAGATTCGACGATTGGGCTACAGCGGAGTCATCCTTGAGTACGCCAAGGAAGTGCTGAAGGAGGGCAAGACAGACGAGCTCCAAGACGTGGCTACATGGCGGAAAGGAATGCTGGATACAATCTCGATCGCTGCTGAAGGTGACTTCTGCGCTTTGAAGTGGAGTGGTATGGGACCAGCGGCAATGCGCAGAATGGCGGAGGAGAAGGCCCCCAGCAAGGAAATGGACGAAGCCATGCACGCCATCACCTCTGCCGCGGCCGCAAAGAACATCTCCCTTCTCCCGAGCGCCGAGGAGACCTGGAACTTGAATGGCTACCAGGACTGGACTTTGCGCATGCAAAGAGCGTACAACACCAGTGGCAAGAGTGTGGTCTACAACACCTACCAGATGTACCTCAAAGAAATGCCCGGCAGGATCGCAAAACACTTGGAGATCGCAAAAGCAGAAGGTTTCACCCTCGGCGCAAAGCTAGTTCGTGGCGCATATCTGCAATCGGAAAGGCGAAGCCTCATCCACGACACCATCCAAGACACCCACAACGCCTACGACTCCGCCGCATCAGCCCTCCTCCAGAAACGCTACAACCCCTTCCTCCGCCCCAGCACCCCCGGCAGCACGGAAAAAATCCAACCCCCCATCAACATCATGCTCGCCTCCCACAACGCGGTCACCGTCACCAAAGCCCAATCCCTCCGCCGAGCGCAAAAGCTTCGCGGCGAAGACCTCGTCCCCCTCGCTTTCGCCCAACTGCAAGGCATGGCGGATGAAGTCAGCTGTACTCTCCTCGCGGCTGCTCGTGCGACTAAAGACGATCCCAATGCCGTGCAGGAGAAGGTCTTTAAGTGTACGCCGTGGGGTAGTATGCAGGAGTGTTTGAATTATCTTTTGAGGCGCGCGGCGGAGAATCGGGATGCGGCGGGTAGGACGGGGGAGACGAGGCGGGCTATGGGGAGGGAGATTGCGAGGAGGGTTAGGGGGATCATGTGATGGAGGCGCAATTGGGTGGGGTATGTATGGCGTTTTCTTTTGGGAAGGTATGATGTGGATGGTATTGAGTCGTGGCTATGGATGATATGAGTTACTCCGGCGCGCGTGTGATGAGCGTGAATCTGTTTGTATTTATTGGCATTAGGAGGAGGAGTTATTTTTATCATGATGGTGGATACGTATGACATCAAGTCTCGCGGCCATGGATCGCATCTTTCACGAATTTCTATTCCAATTCGCACACTCATATTATCTCATGTCCAGCTAATAAGCACCAGTCGTTAACTTCCGATCGCAGACAATAGGCTCTTCTGCTCGGCTCGGCTCGGCTTTATGCGGCTTTCACAAGCGCTCCCGAGCGAGCTCATCTCGGACACGAACACCGAAGCTTATTTCGCGACGGCACGTGCCGAGATTTCACGTTTTTGGCAGTTCATGGATGTTTTTGTTTTTCGTGAGATGGTAATAGGCGCCGCGAATAGCCGGGTATGAGATGTTTGACGATCACTTCGTGTCTGATGCCGGTTGTTTTTGGAGTGGTCATAGGGGGCAGGAGGAGTTTGTTTTCTTGGGGATTCTTTCGATGAAGGACTTCTACTCTAGTCTACTGTATCTCCTTTGATTTTGGTTGCAGGGAAGTAGGACCCCGTACGCTCTGCTTCGAGTTTGATTTTCATTTTGTCTTGTTGCGGTTTTCGTGGCAACAAGATACAAAAGCAATCAACGCTCGGGAGACAAAAGCAACCAACGCTCGGGAGACAAATGTTAGGGCTTTTGAGGTTCGAGCTGGTCCTCCTCCGCTTCCTCTTGAAGTTTTTTTTGGAATGGATCTGTTCTCGCGTGCGGAGAGGAGAAGTGTTGTCCATCGTGGCTCGAGGTGGGGAAATGGTGAAGGTATTGGTCATCCACGGTACCTTATCCGCTCTAGTGCTTGCTCTTGCTTTTCTCGACCATAGGCCAAATTGCATAGGTGGTTCTCGCGTCGGGAGTGGGAGGGGAGAATGCAGTTCTGATCATCTCAAACGTCCGTCGTGGCTAGAGATAGCGAAGGCCAGTGAAATGGTGATCACGGTGTCCGCCCTACTGCTTTCTCTTGCTGTTCTCAGCCTTGAGTCAAATTTTATCGGTCATTCGTGTATCGGAAGTTGGGGAGGAAGATTGGGCATGGAGAAAGAAAGGCGTGGCGTGCCGGTCACTGTGCTTCAGACGCAAGGGATGTATTTGCAAGGAATGCGTGAGCTCGTCTTCATAATCCTCATTCTCGAACGAAGCATCAAGTCTACTCTCATCTGCGCAGTTACGACCATTTTCAGAGCACATTAAGCCGTCATCTTTCTTTTCCGCAATGCAGCCCTCTCGCGCCTCGACGCATCCTTTCCTCTTCTGCCACCACAACTGCCTCCGCTGGCTGAACTTGACGTGGAAAAGCTGGGTATGGGGCAGCTGAGTCTCTGTTTGCGGAAAGAGAAGAAGTAGAGTCTCTGCCTTCGTCCTTTTGGCTGGCGATGCCGCTTTCGTGCTGGCGTTGCTGGGGGACTCGAGTCCCGATAGTGGATAGAAGTTGCCTGTTGGTTTCGTGGAGAATTGCCCGCCAATTTCGCTGTGAGATGTTGGCTTGTCATGCCGGCTGAATTCGAGCATCTTGATGGTTGAATTCAAAGGCTTTGGTGGCAAGAAATGGTGAAGGCTTCGAGATATGAACGCGAGTCTCGTTTTCTTCGGCTCGCCGGGGGCTCCATCGCAGCGTGTAATGGATGTTGGATGAGTTCGCGCCTGTGGTTCGTGAGACATGAAAGTGCTGCTGGCCATCAGCAGCTCCCTTGATATAACTGCCAAGCTGAGTAGGAGGGAGCTTCAAGTCGCGGCATTACCTCGCCTTGCCTTTGTAGAGCTGCTACATGCCCTACAAACTTCAGAGAAGTTGTCTTCGTCTTTGCGGGTCATGTGTAGGCTATAGCGACCCTCAGCTCGTGCCTCGGAAGTTTGTGTGAGTGGCGCTCGGTGTTCAATCGTGCCAGAGGGCCACGGTATGAGCAAGCCCAAGGATACCGGCCTTGCGAATTGGCGCTTTGTAATGCTCGGCGGCCACGCATATGTCTCTGCTCGTCCTTCGCCAGCGACTTGCTCATGTTCTAGGTATCGCAGAAGTTGCTATTGAATCGGAGGTGTATTCGGTGCCTATCGCGACTCTCGGAATGTATGCAGAATACCGCCTTGGTGGCTTCGCAGTGCTGTGTAGTGAGCTTCGGGGAACAGTACTTGTCGTGTGGCATATCCTCGCTCATCCCTCGACGGCCAAATACTCATGTGTTGGACTCCGGACAAGTTGCTATCGACTTTGCGGTCCATCTGTAGCTTATCGCGACCATCCGCATGTATGTAAGAAGGCCGTATAGGCATCAATACCGCCGTGATGGCTCGTAGTGCTACATTGCGAGCTGCGGCAGGGTCCTTCCAGCTGCGGCGTTCTGCTGGTGAAGCCGCGAAGATTTCTTCGCCGTCCCTCGCCGGCCACATACACACGTGCTGAACACCGGACAAGTTGCTATCGACTCTGTGGTGCTTACTGATCATATTGCGACCCTCAGCGAGCATGTAATATGTCTGTGTTGGCGCAGTAGAGCCCACAATAGCACCAGGAGGGAAACTCAGAAGGCGCGGCTTGGCGGCAGGCTTGAGCTTCCCAAACACACTCCAGCTTTCCTCACCCAACAACCAACACCTCTTCGCTACACACGTCACAACAACACCCATTGCACGGTCCAAAACATGCAGAATCTCACGACAGTGCATTTATATGCCTGTCAGTGTGTTCTGATGTGCTCTCTGCCAGATTTGGGCGGTTGGCGGCCAAGCAAAGGCTCCACGACGAGGCCAGCCGCAACAATGGCATATCGCCTCACATTGCCAGCGACACAGACCACTGACATTCTTCGCGGCAACGAGACATCGGTAAGTACCATCATGACCTCCTCTCACATTAATATCATGTGTATAGCTCGCAGGCGTGGCCGGTTTTGGTCGGTGGTGTGCCATGACACTTCCGCTTGCCAGCCGCTCCACCGCCGCCATATCCAGCGACAGCGAGGTCTGGCGGTCTTTGCAACTACTGACAAGCAATGCAGACGCTTCTCAGACATCTTCCGACCCAGCGCTGCAAATTTGGTGTTCACAGTCACTGGCGCCGCCGATTCACAAGCCCTTGGCTTCGGTGATTCGAGCGCTCGACCATACCTTCACTAGTCACACCTTCACCAGTCGGCTAGCGGCAGCGAGGTGTGCTGACCTTACACCATGTCAACGCGCACTGCACGCCACTGAGAAGTCCTCTCTGCATGCGAGGCTGCAAGATCTGGTAAGCTTGCCGCCCTCAATGCCACTCCATCGCCGCATGTCTGACGTACTTCCACCCATTCCTCGACAGACGGCGGCTTCGGCAAGCTGCAGCCAGCAGGCCACGATATGCCAGAGAAGCACCACCAGAGCCACTGCCCACGTCGGCGCCTCGTCGTTTTCATCGCCTCACCACCGCCGACCGACAACTATACCACTGTCGCTTCTCATCGCCGGCACGCTCACAGCGCAACAATCGCTGGCGCCAGCAAGATACGCACAATATCCATTCAGTAGCCCGAGCGTCTACGCCAACGAAGAAGTCATCGACAGACTCGACCTTTGCTGCAGCCGCCAGCTCGAGGCAGACTTCAACGCCCGAGGACAGAAGACCATATCACTCGCACACTCCAATACCACCTGGCAGATCATGAGAAGCATGCATCTTTTGCCTTAAAGAGCTGGGCATGGCAGGGCGCTTGTACACTGGCGGCCATTGCGAGAGAGAATTATGCTTCCACCACGTGATCTCGGCGGATCAAGCTCAAGCTTTCACACCTCCGCCAAGCTGGCCACATCTTTGCAGGACAGCACGACTTGGCTGCTACACGCCACTGGACGAGACACCACCATTGCTTGGTCAACATACACCTTCGGTCTGCTGTCATCACCTCTTGCCCAGGTGGCTGGAGGTGGAGGTGGCAGTAACCTCTGCAATACACGACATCGTGCGCATCCGTGAGCTGCTTGGCCAGCCGGTGTAAGTCGCCCTCCGTTCTTGTTGGCTACTCTGGTAGACGCTACGGTTGTCCTTTTCGTATGTCTTGGTCTGGCATCTGTTCGTCGTCTCAATCGACCCTCGTGTGCTTCACTGTCAGCACTTGGTCAGATGCCATTGAACCACCCCCATCCTTGCACCTTCCCACCCCTCCTGGCATCTGTGTGCTGCTTGCAGCCGGAGTAAGTCCACTTCTGGCCTTGTCGACTGCTCTGGCAGACGCCCGGCTGGTCGCTTTCGTATGTCCTTGCTGCGTTCTGCATTTGCTTTTGGCACCGGTGAGCTTTTGCCCGGGTAAGTCCACTTCTGGCTTCGTCGACTACTTTGGTAGACGCTTGGCTGGTCGCTTTCGTATGTCCTTGCTGCGTTCTGCATTTGCTTTTGGCGCCGGCGAGCTTTTGCCCGGGCAAGTCCACTTCTGGCCTTGTCGACTACTCCGGTAGACGCTTTGCTGGTCGCTTTCGTGTGTCCTTGCTGCGTTCTGCATTTGCTTTTGGCACCGATGAGCTTTGTGCCCGGATAAGTCCACCTCTGGCTTCGTCGACTACTTCAGGTAGACGCTTGGCTGGTTGCTCTCCTTTGTCATTTGCTGCGTTCATTTCCTCAACCACTTCGGCACCGACGAGCGTCCTGCCCGGGTAAGCCCAGTCCACCACCGCTGCACAGCACCGCCTGCATCAGCGACGCATCTCTCCGCAGATGGGAGCCGAACCCAGGTACCTCTTGCGCCCCGGAAGATATCACTCAGTGAACGCTTCTGAACTGCTCTACGGCCTGCACTGGACTCCGCAGAAACCTTTGCACCAGCATCCACTTCACGCTATGGGGCCTCTAGGTTACCTTGAGTATGGCTATGCCCTTGCCGGCTGTGGTTTGCGAAATCGTGTCTGAAAGTCTGACAGCCTGAAAGCCGAGCTTCCTTGGACTAGTACGCACAAGTTGGGAATCTGGGGGAAATTCAAGATCTTCTTGAATCTGAGCTTGTTTGACTTCTCCTGGGAGTCGCTTGCTCGAACGAAAGTGGGAACGTGGGCTTTTCGGTCTTTGGGCATTGTCGCTGGTCTCTGGAAGCTGCGCCTGCTGTGCTTCTCTGGAAGCTATCTGGTCGACAGTGGAAAAGGGCCTTTGACCTTGGATGACTGCCTTGGCTGTCTCTTGCTCTGCTCTTGGGCTTTCGCTGCTTGCTTGGCGAGGCATTGCTTGCTGTACAGCTCTTGGCTGTCTCTTGCAATACCAAACCCTGCTTGCAGCGTGCGTCAATTTCGCGCTCGAGGACTAATCTTTAGCTCTTTCGACCGCTCGCAACGGCAAGTCGACGACATTTCATTTTGTTCGCCCGAATTCGCCCATCAACTTTGGCGAAATCTTCAAGACTTTTCGATACTCAACATATCGAGAACACACAACTCAAGACCGCTCAGAAAACCCTCTCCAGGACACGACAGCGGACGGTCCAGCTTCAGCTTTTGGAGGGACCGACGCATTGCCGTGCGATGGTTGGGGCGCGGCCAAGGTAACTATCATCATCTGCACTCCTCATTCCTCTTGCGCTGGGCCCTTGACATGTTTGCTTGCGGACATGGGTGATTGGTGAGCCACATGCGCACTTCACACATTCCCTTCTTCCCGCGCTGAGCCCGTGACATGTTCGCTTGCGGATATGGGTGATCGGTGAGCAATATGCGTACTTCACACATTCCCTTCTTCTTCCGCGGCCCGGGCTCTTCGGATGTCCTGGTGGTGGTGCAGACTACCTTGGTAGACTCACCCAGAGCCATCCCCATCCCCATCGTCGCTCTCACCACTCTTCATTGATGTCAGGCTGGCTTCAACAGCCAGCCTCCCTGCTTGTTGACCTTTCTGTAGTCCGTCTCTGGGACGGCCCATATTGTCGACAGGTTTGGGGCCGACCGTGGTGAGCGTGGTTGGGGCTCACCACATTTTTTTTGAGCACGCTTGACGTCTGGATCCTGCTTCTTTTCCTTCTCAAAGGGAGAGTTGGGAGAGTTGCAGAAGGTTGGTGTCCAACTCTCTCGTATTGTCAACCTTTGTCAGCTGGGCCTGTTCTTCTGCGACAGCGAGCCCTTTTCGTATTTCACATCCTGTCGAACGGCCCAGGCTCTCCTGGCGAGCCACTTGGTCGCAGACTTGATTGCAGACTACTCCTGGTAGACTCTTTCAGGATCGAGCGACTTCGACATCTTGATGGGATTCGTGGCGGAGGTGGAGGATGCGGAGGTTTTGTTCAAGCATGCTGAAACAACTCGACCATGTTACGAGCAGCCAAGGAGGCCGTGTGCCGTATGGCCGGCCTGGACAGCACGCAGAGTCGAGAAGGCAGAGCAGATGAATACCAAAGCAGCGAGCGTTGTGGTAGATGATCAGAATCCGGAGATGGAGGATGGGAGTACAGGTGGCCGCGCGTTGTGGTTCCCTCGCCAGCATGCGAGACGATGTGTATGCTCACGGTGGCTTTTGAGGAGGCGAGGAGCAACATGGTGCTGGATCTCAAGTGGGCGGCAAGCTGGTGTGCGGTCAAGGTGCAAGACGATGTGTATTCTCTTCATGGTGGAAGTCGCTGCAGTTGACGAGAGAGACTGGAAAGCTGGGCTCGAGGATCTTGTACTGAAGTCCCGCGGAGTGGACCTGGAATGGAGATACGTTGCTGGTGCAAAGGACGATTCTGGGCTCGCGAATCATGGCTGTATATCTTGCTGGAAAGGCTGCTCGTCAGGTTGGTCCTGTATCTCTCTCTCTCATGGAATGGTTGTCGCTTCTGGTCCTGCATGCGCTTCTCTTCTCCATCTCTTGCTGTAGAACCCTGCTGACCTGGCTGACTCTCCCATCCCAGGCATGCTTCGACTGCATCCCGCTGGACAATCATAGAGTCCCTTCACCACCTGCTACTGCAGCGAGTATCCTTGCTCTTTCAGTAGACAACTACGCTTCCAGGTCCGCAACACCTCTTCGTCCAGTATTGCCAGCATCCCGCTGCTCTTGCTTGGCCCTCATTGCTTCGAAGCTCTCACGGCCACCGTATTTGATCATTCCATTGATGCAGAATTTTCAACCGGACGCTCGCAGAAGGAAAGCTCCGCCTTTCCCATCAGCTGATAGATCCTCCGGACCAATGTCCTTCAGCTCCTTCTCGCCGCGTCAAGCCTGCTGTGTCGGAGGTGCAGTTTCCAAAAATCTCTTCTGGCTTCTCCCTTCTAGCCTACGTGTCGCCGCCTGCGAGGTACTTGGTCATGGCCTCGAATTTGGAGTATTCCTGCTCTTCTAACATCTCCTCTCCTCTCCCCTCCAGATCTATCTAGGTGCCTTCTGGGATGGTGGATGGGAGTGCTTTCTCGGAATTTCGAAGATGCTGCTGTTGCTGCAGCAGGATTTTCGATTGCTGGAAGTGGGTTTGTATCGTAGCAAACAGCACGAGCACGAGCACGAGCACACGGGGAGGCATTGTGCGCTTCCTCGCCATTTCGAAGATGCTGCTGCTGTACGAGTAGCTGAAATTGGTGGTTGTGGTATAGTTGAGAATCCTCCAGCCGCGGATGAGTGAGTGGATTGAGCTGGCCGTGACTCGTAAGATCTCAGCTGATTATTCTCTTTGAGAGGAAAAGTAGTTCTCGGAGCGCCGCGGACGATGTGCTGTTGATTCGTGACAGATGTGCTGCGTGCTCACCGAATGTTTCTGCGACCTCGTGTGCCCCAGCTTTGGACTTTCGGCGAGCTGGAGGAGGAGGTTTTGCGCTATGCCATGCCATCAACCTACTCTACACAGCCCGCGAGACCCTCCTGAGCAGCATTTATGACATTGGAACGACCACAGAACGAGAGATGCCATCCACCGCCCTTCCACTCCACGACACGAGCCATCTGCTTCCGAGAAGACGTCCCTTGAGAGCCATTTCACCCAGATCAGCGAGAGGAGACGCGTCTTTGGTGGATGAGCGGCTGGAGCAACGACATTTGCATTGAGGATGACACCCAGGCTCTACCTCTACGGACTTGATGAATGAGATGAGACATGGACTTGTTCTACAGCGTGGTTTGGACTCTGGATTGATTCAAGGAGAGCGAAGAGTGGATTTCATAAGCGTGAGAGGCGTCTTTCCGGGAGAACAGCAGTGCAGGAGGTACAATGGATCAGAGTCTACGGAAATTGCTATCCACTGCCTCAAAAGGTCTTCTTCTGCTACTGTAATATGGGCTGGGATTCTGAGCGAGCCACGAGCCTGCGCGAACACTAGGTGCGAAGGGCATCTACATTCTGCATGATTCTGAGCAAGAAGGAGCATCGTACTGTGATTCGCAATGAAGAGCAAGAACAAGCAATACTACTCTTCGGAGGTCAGGAAACTGGTCACTGGGCTGTTATGCCTTGCAGGGCCCCTGCTTCGGGCGGAGAGGAGAGCAGGAGCAACACCGTCTGAACACACTCCTCAGCCTTTTGTATACATTGAGCCCTTCTCCTTCCTTCTACTGATCTTCGAGGGACAGGGATGTTTTGCAGGAGAGCAGAGACGCAGCGCGGGAAGGAAATCGTGCTCGAGGTCTAGCAGATGAACACGCAGTCCTCTCCTCCTCCCAGGCTGCGCCAAGTGATGGAAGTCGGAGCAAGAACTAGCATCTCACGCTGGCTTCAGGAAACTTCGAAGACTCACTCATGGCTCCTAGCTGGCCTTCTCCTTCTCTCTGCTCTGCGTAGAGTGGACCTCGGATTGCAGCAAGTGAGAGAGTTCAGAGGAAGAGCAAGCATGTACGGCAAGCACTGGGCGAGCTCCAAGATCCGCTGAACACTCCGAGGTCATTGTCCTCTCCTGATCCCTTGGCCGCCACACAGAGGAGCCCATGATGCGTCAAGTGGCCGAGTTCAGAGAAGGAGCCAGCATGGAAGCAAGCAATAGTCAATTGCAGTGGACACATGCCCCCCCCCCCCATTCCAAGCTTCTCCTTCTCTTCTCCATTACGCCAGGCGACAGGAGCCAGCATGCAAGGCAAGGCAAGGCAAGGCAAGCACTGACGGACCTCAGTATCCGCTGCTTTCCCTTTCGCTGTTCTATACCACACATCACGAACCCTCTCCCAACCCCGATCATGAGCCAAAGCTCTTTCTTCTTCGCTTCCTCTTGAGATCACAGCGCCGCATCCACCCCGTTTCCGGACCGTCGACGATCACGCTGCCATCCACAGCATCGCCTCAGCGCGTAATGACAACGACCATGCAGGGCAGAAATCACATTGCGTCCACATCACTTTCCGTCCCCAAAAACTTTCCTGCCCACATTTCATAGATCCAACACCCTTTCTCCCTCCACAAACGCCAACATCCTCACAGCGCATTCTCATCCATTTGCAAGTCTTTGCGAGCCAGGTCACGCATCCTCGGCGCGTAATGGTAATAAGATTATGAAGCCATTCAGCATGTCGGTGGTGTTTTTTTTTCGGGGTTCTGGAATTTCCATGTTTTGCAAGTTGGGCTAGAAGTGGAAGGTGGTGGATGGAGTCTCTCTCGTCGCGATGATTAGTAAGGTGTGGAAAAGTTCTGGTATGAGGAGGTTGAGAAGAGAAGACTTGCTGAGAATTTAACATGTATGTTTCGATGGAAAGCCAATCATCTTGTACATGCTCCTCCTATACCGTTCGTATTCCAAACCCTTGCTTGCCTTCGCATGTTCAGCCAGACGGTCAATGTCTCACGGCTTGGTGCAAACATACTGGCAGACCTCGCTGCTCGTCTTCAAAAGCAGTTCCATGATCACCTGCTCTGGATGGCAAAGCTATGGATCTGCCAAGTCTTTCAGCCTATCCTGCTCTATCTGAGTGCCAGTCAGAATACAGAAGGAGATTCCATGGTATGATGAACAATGCTTGCTGAAGAAGGTCACTGACATGCTGTATGTGGATAAAAGCATTTCTGTACAGCACGAACGGCCAGCTCTGCAGGTCAAGTTTCTCTCAAAAATCCAAATTGCTCTGCGTCAATTTTGTGGGACGTTTGAACCACTTCTGCCTCCTGCGACATCCATCTCGACTCTGTAGTATTCTCCTGACTCCCCTTTCCTTCCGCGCCATCCTTGACTTCCACAAACACCACCCACAGCCAAAGTCTTGTATAGATCCTCTTGATCTTCGGTCTCGCGCACTCGCTCGTTGTTGGTTTTGAATTGGTGTTGAGTTGGTGTTGAGCTGGTGTTGAGATGGTGTTGAGTTGTTGGTATTGAGCAGCCCATTGACGACAGAGTGCTGGGGCGCTGGGTGATAGCCGGACTTCCTCTGCTGATCTCGGAAGCGAGAGTACGACTTGGGGGTACTGCCTCAGATCATGACCGCGTACAGTGCCACATTGTAGCCCGGGGCGTGGGGGATAGCCGGACTGATATCCAGAATCCTAAGTGCCCAGTGCTACAGTATGGAAGTGTAAGCGGTCATGATCTGAGGCAGTACCTCCAGTCGTACCCTCGATTCCGAGATGAGCAGAGGAAGCGAAAGGATTGCCGGCGGCGGCCTGCAAGAATAAAGTTGTTAGTCAAGATCTTCTTCGAGTGCGAGTTCAGGTGGATGTGGACAGGATATTGCTGGCGTTCAGAGTCGAATTTTCGTCATGAGATGTAGGATTGGAATGAGTCTTAAGAAGGACGATGGTGGATCATCATCGCGATGTTTGAAGAGGTTTGTGACGGGGGATCTGACTTACTTGATGGACGGGGACTCAAGGAACCGGCCGGCCAGCTGATGTGCGTACCACATGCGACTCCTCTCACCAGCCAGCCGACCGGACCATATCACATGCGACTCCTCTCAGCCAGTGTGGATGATGTCGGCCGGCCGACGCTCATACCACATTCGGCTCCTCTCAGAAGAGTTCGTTGGCAAGAGCGCCGGCCGGGCGAATGGTGCACGTACCACATGCGAGCATCTGTGAAGACTCGTATTAGCTAATGCTTTTGTGAAAGAGGAAGACAAATGCGATGGTGGAGTGGTGGTCGGAACTTTGCGTGCGATTGCGGTCAAGGCCATCACATGCTCGCCGATGGGGCTGTGGTATATGGGTGAAATGAACTATGCTGCTCTCGACAACCGTTATCGGCACGATGGCGAAGTGGTAAGGCATGCGAGCATTCGTATCATGCTGTCAGTCAGGCAAAGTTGAACTTACCATGGCCGCAAGCGGCCCGACAAAACGATTCCCTCAGTACATAAGTACCGGGGAACTCGTTGTGTTGGGGCGTAAACCATCGAGCCGGTAGCGGTTGGCAAACTTTTGCCGCCGCGGTCTGTCTGTGGGATATATCTAGAATGATTTCGTCTTTTTGAATGAAGATCGACCGCGGCGGCGTTCGGGCTAATGTTGTCGGTGTAACATTTTTGGGCTGCTGCGCCATCTTCTGCCTTTGTTGGGGAAGCTGGAGTGTTGGCTCTCGATTGATGATACTGGTGATGGTGCGAAGCTCATGCTCGGTGGGTGTTGAGGAAGGGGTCGAGTCTGTAGCATGAGTCAGCACGTTCACTCCTGTTGCTTCGATGAGAACCGACTCACCATGCAGATGATGTCGAGCTCACGGTGCGCTGGGAAAGGCCGACGCTCTGGGCGATGGAGATCTGTTAGCGTGTGAGTCATGGTCTTCCTTCGCCGGTGAGAGAAGTTTGCAGACCTGGATGACGGCGAGAATGCGCTGGAAATCTTCGGCGCCAGCAGATCACCTCTTGCGAGCCGGGTGGTTCTTCTCGCTTTGAAGGAGGATCGTTGGCAAAGCACTCAAAGGCAGAGGTAGGCCTGCAACGCTGTCAGCATTGTTGGAGACGCAGCGTCGATGGTGATCACCGTCAATGTCCACAACATTGAATACGTTGGTAAGCACTCTGATACTGACCTCGCAGGCTTGCTGTCAGAAGCGGATGTGGATGAATTGATGATGTAGTGATGGTGGAAAAGTGAGGCAGAGCAAAGAGTCAGAAGAAAGAGCTTGCGAGAAAAGTCTGCAGAGGCAACAGCAACAGCACGAGCTAGCGCCAATTGATCCCTGCCACAAAACTGGAAAGCTTTCGACGCTTAGACCTTTTCACCGCTGCCCTATTGAGGCTGAGGTTGATGTCCCGCATTCTTTTCTCTATTTTACGTTATGTGAAGATCATCGTACGACGTTGTCCAGACGGCGAGAGATCTTTCCGTAAGAGTCTCGTTGGCACTACGAAGATGTGGGAATGGATCAAACGAGAGCGTTCAGGGCATCTTCTTCAACAATGTAGTTGCTATCCAACATACTTCGATTACCAAAGTCTCGAAACCGCTCGAAGCGTCTCAGCTTGATCTGCTCATGTAACAACTGCAGTCCCTAGATATTGAAGGCAAGCTGCTGAGACGAATGATACGCGTCGTAACTTGCACCCAAATAAACACTAAGAGCTTGTCGTCAGGTTTGGAGTTTCGGTCGAGCAAGGAGAGAAGCACGTAGTACTATGCATCGTGCATCACTTCTGACTCTATGTGTCCGACTACGAGCAAACATCCCGAGAAGGGGAAATGCCGACCAGCGTGATATGCTACTGTCCAGTGAGTATTTGAAGTTGTCCTTCGACCCCTACCTGTGCCTTGCGTTTGAACATACTGTAGATAGCTGCAGCGTAGGGGCGCGATTCTCAATGATTGTCTGCCATCGAGACTCCAATCATGGCTTTAGGGAACATTCTCGCTGGAAAGTGGAATTGGAGAGTAAGTGTTAGAACCTACATCGAAGGCCGTATTCGGATGGCTATATTCCGAATTGAAGACATGCTCGAAATTGCGGGAGCAAATTCGAGCACCGCAGAGCGACTTCTTTGTGGAAGAATGGGAGGGTAGTAAGGGAAGGGCAGAGATTCGACATCTTCTTCCGACATCTTTATCTCTGCTCTGGCTAATGTTGGCAGCCCGGCCAGCATGCCAGAAGTGTGATGGAGAAAACAGAGGGCGTGCACTTCAAATCATTTCATTCGTTCATGATGCGAGTATCTCTGTTGCCCTAGCGAACTCCATGCTTTCAATACCGCTGAAGCTCACTAAAAACGATCAGAATGATTTAGCACGCTCTTCCCACAAGAGACACACGATTCGTCCAGTCCTCCGAATCTCATGCATGCACAAGCTCTCAATGCCGTCTCAGTCTCAGCTTCTAGCTCCTGTTGATGCGCAACTCCTTCTTCGGCTTCTTGCGGCACTCCGGACACAGCCACTCTCCCGTCGGCTCCTCAGTGACGCCCACGCACTTATAGTGGAACCACTGGTAAGGACAGTTGTCGTTGTCGCAGCCCACCATGTCGCCGTAGCTGACCTTCTTGCAGAAACAGTACAGCGTCTCGTCGTCCTCGTTATCATCGCCACCTTCGGCAGTGCCATCAGCCTGGCTGCGTTGAATCGAGGATGGCGTTGGAGATGCGGAGTCGTCATCGGAGTCATCAGAAAGCGAGGCATTCGTGCTAGGAGTGGCGCGATCTCTGGCGAGTTGGCGGCGACGATCTTTCTTCTGTCCGGAAGGACGAGAGCGGTTGGACTTCTTGGATGGTGGTGGCGCGGCTTTACGGTTGCCTGGTGGGGGATGTGCGCCTTTCTTCTGGGCTGCGGTGGGTTGTGCAGAACCAGCGCGAGATGCTGCGACACCGGTTGGTACAGGTGTGCCGGCCTTTGGTGTGCCTGGTCCAAGAGACGATTGACGCAAGCTGCTGTTTGGTAGAGATCCCAGCGAGACGTTCAGCTTTCTCTTCTTAACATCGCTGCTACCTTCGCGCTGGCTTCTTGGTAAGGTGGTGGGTGTCTGGCCGCCGGTTGGCGTTCCGCGAGCAGTAGAGCGCGCATTGGCAGCCATTTGGTGTTGTGCGGCGTTTTGCATTGGGATGATCGAGCCGATGTTACCACTGACAGCTTGAAGGGGCATGCTGGGAGCTGTGCCTGCGACTGGTGTATTGACTCCGGTGGCGGCGCCGCTGCCAGTCAAAAGACTTGGACCATTCCAATCTGACGGAAATTGTTCGGTTTGCGCAAGTCCCTTCAAGCCAATGTCAAGACGCTTGATTTGACGGTCGAGGATGATTTGAGCCTTCTCGGCGAGACCACACTTCTCTGCTTGTAAGATTTCCATCTTGTCGTAGCACTCGCTGATGGTCTTGGAGAAGGCTTCTTCTTTTGGGTTGGGGACGTGGCCGCCGTTGATTCTCACCCACTTCTGGATCTGGCTGTCTCGCTTCGCGATCTCGTCTTTGAAGGCAGTGATTTGAAGATCTTTGGCTTGGAGCTCTTCCATTAGATGAGTGATTTCGGCCGGCACGTTCGCCACTGATTCGAGGTAATCAGTAAGAAAGTCTTCGAGGTCGGGGCACCGCGAAGGCATGCTGTCGCATATGAAGTCGACTTGATCAACAATGCTCATGGCATTGTACTCAATCACTTCACTGGCGGTCATCTCCGAGGAGAGCAGACGGTACGTTTCCATCAGCTCCGCAGTGAGGAGCTTTGATAGCTCGTCCATGTTGGAGTGCATGTGAAATCTTGGCTAAACTTACCATCGTGAACGAATTGCTCCAGCACCGACGCCGCATCTTCTGGCTGACTAAGTGCGCCTGCCATTCCGAAGTTCCGCCGGCGCAGGGCGCGGGCTTCGCAGTCTTCAACGGTCGCGCAGGTGGCGAGCGCTTCCCGATACAGCGCCGCGACGCTGGTGTTTCTGCTCGTGGAGGCCCTGGGGCGTGCAGATGTATACGGAATAAATTTTGCGATGCCAAAAAATGGCGTGCGTAGTGGTGTGGTGGTGGTGGTGGTGTTGCTGGCAGCGCGAGGAGGCGACGTTGAAGTTTTGTCGGCTGACTTGCCTCAGATCAGACGAAGCAGGGGCTCCCGCAACCCCGCACTCCCGCACTCCCGCACTCCCGCACTCCCGCACTCCCGCACTCCCGCAGAGCCTCACTCCATCCCCCAGCTCGCTTCCGCAGCCCACTCAGTTCCAGCCTGAGACATCGACCACCATCACCACCCAAATATACGTATACCGGCTCCTTCCATATCAGGCATCTTCTGTGGACCTCCTCGCGCACGGTGAACGATAGTCTCGTCACCTGCCAGAGAAGGACATCCTCGCAAGCGCGGTCGTCCGCCGGGCAAGAAGAAAGGCCCAGCACGAGGCCGGACAGACTCCAAGGCGCCCTCTGTCCACTTCAGCAGCGAGGTCACTTACTTCGGCGGCGACGACGATGGTCCTGGTCCCATGGCCGGCTTCAACCCACGCGCCTCGGTCCGCAACGACATAGTCCAGCAATGGAATGCCAACGACCTCTCTCCGCGCTCAGGCTCGCGGACGCCTGCATACGAGAATGGCAATCACGACCGTACTTGTGGCATGGAGATCGACACTCCGGCCACTCCGCCAACTACAGAAGAAGATGAGCGGTTGCTCGAGGATATGACCCTCCGGCGGAACATCTGGGAGCAGGTCGAGAACAACAACATACAGCGCCCGAAAGGTCACAAGGTGTCCTTTCACTACAGCAGTCGTGTCGAGGATATGCATTTTGGCAGGACCCATCCCATGAAGCCTTGGCGTCTTACTCTGACGAAACATCTCGTCTTGGGGTTTGGTCTACACCATGCCATGGACACCTACGAAGCCATTAGCGCTGGCAAGGACGAGGTATGCCAGTTCCACGATCCAGATTACGTCGACTTCCTGTCGCAAGTGTCGCCCGGTACGTTTAAGAAGCTATCCGAGGAGCCGCGCTTCCGACGCGCCACGCCGCCGAAGCATGATGGAGACAGTGTCGAGTTAGGCCCGTTCAATCTTAGTATGAGTCCGGGCGCTGACTGTCCTGTCTTCGACGGCATGTCGACGTACTTGTTCCTGTATACTGGGGCTACGCTCGGCGCCACGCAGAAGATCACCTCCGGCGAAAGCGACATCGCCATCAACTGGAGCGGAGGTCTTCATCACGCCCACAAGTCAGAAGCCAGCGGTTTCTGCTACATCAATGACATCGTTCTCTCCATCCTGGACATGCTTCGAGTCTTTCCACGAGTCCTGTACATTGACATCGATGTTCATCATGGTGATGGTGTGGAAGAGGCATTCCAGCGGCAGTCTCGAGTCATGACGCTGTCCTTTCATCGGTATGGTCCGTATGATGAGACAGGACACAAGTTCTTTCCAGGCACCGGAGACATCTCAGACATTGGTCTACGAGGCACGAAAGGAGAGCATTTTGCCCTGAACGTCCCAATTGCAAGCGGCATTGACGACAGACAGTACAAGAAGCTCTTTGAGTGCGTGACTGGCGCCACAATCGAAGCTTTCAAGCCCAGCGCCATCGTCTTGCAGTGCGGCGCCGACTCTCTGGGAGGAGATCGTCTCGGCCAGTTCAACATCAACATTAAGCAGCATGGCGAATGCGTATCTTTTGTGAAGAGGACTGGTCTGCCGCTATTACTGCTTGGAGGCGGAGGCTACACAGCACGCAATGTTGCTCGAGCATGGACACATGAGACTGCAATCTGCACCGACAACGAGCTTCCGGATAAGATCCCGATGCACATTGTCCCACGACCAGAAGCCTTCCATGGCCGCCCTCACGGCGATGGCAAAATGTATCCCAGCTTTGAACGCTTGCACAAGAACGAATGCAAGGACGGCGGACCCGAAGGCATTGACACTATGATTGCAAAGCTTCGAGAGGAGCTGAAGTATGTGCGGAACAGTCCTTGGGTCAAGTGTGACCAGCTGCCTACCGGAACCAAGATGGACGAGATCATGGCCAGGGTCGACGAGGAGCGCCGGAACAGGAAGCAGCTTGAGCGTAATGCCGGAGGACGAGGTGAGTTGCGGTAAGCGCAAGAGGATTATTCCTGGCGATAAATTCGCATCATGGCGTTGCAACTATGCGCAGCATGAATCACATGCTGTCTTGAAGCTGGTCTCATGGAAGGCCTGCTCAGCTAGCTCCGCTGCCAAGATTCACATGTTTCTTGGCAATCAACCGTACCAGCATCATCAAGCATCAGGTCGCAATTGAGAACCTGAATAGCCAAAAATTCTTGAAGAGAGTACCAAAAGGCTCCACAGTTTCTCACAGACCTTGTCAAGGTCATCGCCTTCAATTCCAAAAGCTTCTTTGCTCAAACTCAATTGTCCTTCTGCCTATGTCTCGATCCTCAATCATGTCCCCCTATCTCCTCAGCATCAAGGCCAGCGAAGCAAAGTCTGAAGCCATCTTGCGTTGGTATGTGCTACTGAGCTTTCCATTCTTTCTCCCTTGCCATTCTTGAAACTCATGCGAACCCACGTTCCCTCTCCTCCTGCTCGTCGGGCGTGAAGATGTATTTCGGTGTCGATCCAGGTCGAAATCTGCGAAGTTCAAAGATTTCTTTGCAATCTTCGCTTTATATGTAGACAAAGGACTTTGAGTCAGACGTGTAGGAGATGGGGGATGGTGTAGGCGCAGGGGTTTTGTGATCTAAGACGAGGCATGTGTTTAGTTTATTAGAACTGAGTAAGATGATAATGTGCTGATCGGAGGCACAAGGATGGGAAAGACTGACGAGCTCAAAGACATCCCCGACCTTGCAAACCTCTACTCGAACTTGGACGTTCTTCTGCGCGAAACTACAATACGACGGCCAAGAGAAGGTGGACGCCTTCATCGCCTCCAACCCTACGGATCGACACGACAATCAGGACCCGCAGTTTTTAACGGCAGCGAAGATCCGCCGTAACGCGCACACCAGAGACAAGGACGGCAACTTGCCAAACCTCTTTCTTCTACCTACGTCCCAACGATCGTCGTCGGAGAGAACATTACTTCCTGAGCCTCCGCGACTACCCTCACCATCTCCACCTGACATGCCGGCCACCGGTGATTCCAGATCCTGCGCGAAATATCCTACTGTCCTGGCAAGGCCACTATGGACTTTGATGAGAACCCACACTTCGATTAATTAGCCTTGATCGTTTAGGATCGTCGAAGACAGCCTCGGCGCGAGATTACTCCATCATCTTCCGCACTGGTCTGTATAAAGACGGTTACGACGCGCATACCGAGCTCCTCAACATTCGCTTCTGCGAATACGCGGCATTGGAGACGGGAGTATGGGATCTTCTCCGCTAGGCAAGAGGTGGCAGTGTCTATGAGAATAGACATCGGAGGAGGAGGGAAGAATGAAGGTGAAAGCCTGATTCGCTTTCTTTGGGAGCTTCGGTTATCTTTCATGGGTAGTGTAGTTTTTTTTTTTTACTGACCGGCGTTGCGGGAGAAGAGATGAACGGGATCGGTAGCGGTCGGTTTCTTTGAGAAATTTCAGAGTAAACATGGGAGCCTCTGGAGCATGTTTGGGAAAGGAAGGGATGGTATGATTCCATAGTCATGTTGAAAGCTTTCAGCATACCTTCGGTCGAAACTCAGGCCGAAAGGTGGAGGTTTGGGCCACGGCGCAGTCATGATATGAGAGGGAGTTGTTTGGATTGATAGTGATGATGTCTCGTTTTTTTTCAAACTAGGTGATATAATACTCCAAGGTCCAACGTCAATCAAGGCAACTCGTAGAGACAGACCTGCAGCTGGGGGTGTAGAGGAGACCACCTCAGTGCCTTTAGAAGTGCCATCCACCAGCCGGATGTGGACTCGCGGGCCACCAATGCCAAGCAATAGGCAGCACAAGAACAGCCTGATAGTGCTAATCCGAAGAGAGCAGCTCGCTGGCACCTGACGAGGCGCCACAAGACCTACTGTCTGAGCGCCAAGAGAACCGTTCGCCAGCACCGCCACTGCAGGATCCGTTCGAATACGGACCTCTGTTCGTGTCGCCAGAACACACATCACGCCCAAAGCAGCCAAATGCGCCGACTGGAAACGGGGACGATGATCAGCGCCTCGAGCGCATGACCTACGCAGCCTTTGGCCTAATGGGAGAGTCAACCATGCTCAAGAACCTCGAGAAGAAGTGGCATCTGTGTGTCGCTATAGAGTAGTCTAAACGAGCTCCACTCCAGGGCGCTTTGTGCTGGCAGGGGTGGATAGCGGACGTGGTACATCTCAAGCTTGACTGAGGAAGAGCTGGACTATCCTAGCGGTGGGAGATTACGCCAGTGGACGCTGTGGATGTTCGTCTGTAGCTGCCAAGCTAGGGGTGATTATGTGCCTCGGAGATAATGCTGCTTCTGAGTCTACCTGATTCGACCGTCTCAGGGGTCCTTGGGTCAGTGGGTGACTGTAAAGCCTTGGATTGACTTTGGGAGGCTGCTGAAGGTAGTGATACTGAGCGTATTGAGAGTGATGCTGCTGTCCGCTTCGCCTTCATTCTGGGGTTTCCCTCTCTTCCACAGTTGCGCAGGTATGTTATGGGCTTTTCTCATCAGGCGCAGAAGTGTACGAATTTGAGAGCAGTCTGTCAGGTTTATCCCTCAAGCCACTGCGAATGGACGGTGTTGCGCAGACTGGAGCTGCTGCGTGTGTATAAAGCGGATGTTTAGACCTTTGGTGTCAGAGATGGATGGACATCAGGCTGAGCGGGTTGCGGGTGATGCTGTAGAGCTCTCTTGCTCGTTCTGGTTTGCTGTGGTCGCTCTTTCTTTGGAAAATGGCAAAGTGATGGAAATGATGTTCGAAAGTTGCTACAGAGGTATACAGTGCTGAGTGTATCAGTCTTGATGTGTTTGCCCAGCACACCGAATCGCAATGGTTTCGCAGCAGGGGGGACTCACAATAGATGCATGCCCTTTCGGCCATAGATGTGGATTCGAAGGTAATATCATTGCTTGCAGGTGTTGTCTTCGATCGCATCACTCATCTCAGGGGCCGTGAAGCTTCTCGTCAGCAAGATGTTGCAACATGACGGAGCAACCCTCTGGTAGCGGCTGCTGAAGCACGTAAGGCTGAGTCTGTTCAATGTGACGATACTGCATTTTCACCGTGCCGTACATGTTCCAATGAGCTTCGATATCGTGAGGAGTTCTGGGCCAGACGATGGAGCCTGAGCTGCTGCTCTTGCCACGGTAGAGGCCGAATATGCAGGCTCAACGGTCGTGGTGAGCTTGGGTATAGAGTGGCATTTGCCGCACAGCATCACTTCTTCCTCACGCTCAGCTCGCAGACAGATACGCTTCCACGCTTCCACGATCGATACCGCTTCCATTCGACACATCTTCTGCGACTGAGCGACAATGCAGACTCCGCCAGCCCATCGTCCGGTGACGACAGCACAGGCGATGAGGCCGAGAGCCCACTTGGGCCAGGATCTGGTTGAGTTCATCAGGGATCTCCGAGGGCCTGACAGGTCGCGGGAGCTGAACTCGTGGCTGAAAGAGCTGTGCGAGTTGATCGACGTCAAAGATCACTCGAACACGATCGATGTGAGGAGCCTGTTGTGGACAGGGCAACTTCTCCTGAGCCGCGTCTACTTCCACGGGCTTTTGGACACTGTGCCATTGGTGATGGCACCGGGCCTACCTGTATGTGGAAGAACGAGCGGGTGGGGACATCAAGTGATGATCGAGATTGATCCATATCCGGTGGTTAATAATGGCTGCACTTCGCTTGCAGCCCATATTACCGGCACGCTGCTGCACGAGATGTGCCACGCATTCCTCGACGTGTATAGCTGCGCCAGCAAGGCTTGCGGAGACGCCGAGTGCATGAGCGACCTCGACATGGATTATGGCGTGAAGGGACACGGCCTCACATGGAATGTGCTGGCTGGGATCGTCGGTGACAGAGTGAGAGAGCACTTCGAGGTCCATATATCTCTCGGAGCAAGAGCGTCCAGCGCAGACGAGGATGAACTCCTGGCTGAACATGGCGATTGGCTTGAGGACGAGATCTGGCCGCGTGACTCGCGCCAGTGATCCCTTGCCGATACGCTTTTGACAAATCCTACGGGTGCGGCTATATGTCGTGGGTGAAGGGAGCTGGTCACTCCTGGACCCCGAATGGGATCACAAGTCCTACTTTACACCTCCCCGTGGTTGATCCCGGGCAATGCTGGCGACGTTGCGAGCAGCTAAGTAAAGAGGCAGGCAGTTTTGGGAGCGGACTACAAAGACGCGAAGGTGGACATCACAGCACTTTCGCAATATCAAGAAATTCACCATCGACCCAACTTTCGACCAACCTACAATGGCAACTAGGTATTAAGCAGCGGAATCCGGTGGCCAGCAGTTCATGGAAGCGAACTGCAAGGAAGCGAAGGTGGACATCACAGCACTTTCTTATCATCAAGAAATCGACCATCATCTCCATCTCCGACCAACATACCATGGCAACTGAGTTCAAAGCATCAGAATACAGTGGCCAGCAGTTCATGGAAGCGAACTGCGATCAACGCGAAGGTAAACATCGCACAGCCTTCACAACACCAAGAAATCGACCACAGACTCAGTTTCGACCAACATACAAAGCCAACTGAGTATCAAGCAGCGGCATACAGCGACTAGCAGGTTATGGAAGCGAGCTGCGCTCAGAGCGAAGGACAACATCGTACAGCCTTCACAACATCAAGACATTGATCATCAACTCGATCGTCGACCAACGTACAGTGCCATCAGAGTTCCGAGTAGAACACTACAGCGGCAAGCAGTCTTTGGAAGTGGACTGCGATAAGAGCGAATGTGGAAATCACATACCCTTCACCACGTCAAATGCGTTGATCAACACTCCATCACCCAACACTCTACCATGCCATAGGTGTTGCAACCAGCGCAAGCAGTTCTTGGAAGGGAGGCGACTGCACTGTCAAGACACAACACAAGCATTGTACTATACCAGGATGCGAGAATCCCGTCGTCCGCAACCACACTAACCAGAGACATAATGCAACACATCACCAAAAATGTGAAAAGTGCGGTTTCCAAGGGTCTACAAAGGCTATGAAGAAACACAAAGCCACGTGTATACCAGACACAAGTCAGAACACCATGGATCTAAAGGCCTTTCTTGGTAGTCTAGACCCCCAGCATCGGACGTACATCGATATACCAAACGAGTTGATCGACACCCTGCAAAACCTGCGTGTCCATCCATTTGCCGATGTCAAATGCGTTAATCAACATCCCCACTACCCAACACTCTACCATGCCACAGATGTTACAACCAGCGCGAGCAGTTCTTGGAAGCAGGCTGCGAAAGGAAAGAAGATGAACATTCCGGCACCTTCACACCATCAACACAATCGACCAACGTCTCCGTCATTTAGCGTTATGCGACGCCACTGAGATCAAACTCAGCGGCATCGATGCCTTCAACGTCAAACGAACATCATCGCAGTATCGATATTCTACGCGGCTCACAACTCTCTGTCGGAGTTGGAAGCACGAGGGCCTCCGAGAAGATGGTCATGACGGTTCCGAATCACACCCAATTCGACTTCTAGGTCAATCGGCATGCAGTGATCAGTCATGCTGTGCAAAAGAACTGATTGCCAATCAGTCTCCCGGGCGAACTCAGAAACAAGATCTACCCCGGGGAAACAAGACGCTCGACCACCGAACTAGTCTTCAACCATCGTAGGACGCAACCGAAGTCACAATCAGTTTTCGATGGCAGTGCGCAGAGCGTGCAGCGCCCAACAGCAGGTCACAACATTCTCACGTCCATTAGCGACTTCAAACAGACCCTCGACCAACGACTCAACCATCACATACCATAGAACCCCACCAAGTCAAATGCAGCATTACGTCCCAAGATGCAGAACGTGATGCGGCAAGAGGCGGAGCGCAACAATCTCAGCCTTTTGCAGACTCCAAACAAGCCAATTCCACTAGCAGCTCGAGATTTGACGACAGACAGTGTAACCGAAGTCAAATCTAGCATGAAGTGTCAGCCAAACGAGCGCACAGGAGTTTACGACGCTCTCCCACCCCTTCCCATGGCAACCATACAGAGGCCCAAGCAGCCAAACGCCCAAGCAGACCTGAAGGCCTTCAAGGGGCCAAATGCTGCAGAGACACAGCCCAGCAGCATCCAAGGGCGTCATAAGACCCAAAGGCCAATGCAGGCGTAGAATCAGTGCATCCTCAATCGCAGCCTGGCGTCCTCTTCTTCGGCGGCGGAAGCGATCTTGGCCGAAAGGATCCCATCTCCCAAGCCGCAAAGGCACCGACCTCCCTAACGGCCTGACGTGTCCGACGCACGCCCACCAAGGGCCAAAAAGGCAGAGCGCAACTCTCTCGCGCTCTACGCGACTTCAAAGAGGGCACTCAATCCGCGGCTCAAGATCTGATGACAGACAAGGCATTGGACATCAGACCCAGCGTACCGTTGGAAACACAACTTCTGGAAGTAAGGAGAAGCTCATGAGATCAAGGTCCCGCTCTTTCTTGATGATTCCAGGCGAAGACTCCCAAGCTCAGGCACCATCTCGAAACCCCACAGCCGGTGACGGTGACGGGGTATGGGCCAACACCAGCGCGTCCGACTTCCTGACCCGTGGCACCCAAAGCCTTTCTGCGATCCTCACGACATCACCGACAGAGTGAGGCACTATGATATATACCACGCCATACGCACGATCTCACGGCTCAACATCAACAAAACAGACCACAGAGGCAAGAACGGCATCCCCTTCTCAAGCAAATATATCTGGAGTGCCTTTCCGCCGATGTGTCGAATCCTTGCACAGCTGGGAAAGAAAAAAAGGCTGAAGTGCCGGGAGACGTCTCCTCCATCCTCTCCACCTTGCGTTATGTTCTCCATGAGCATCTCCATCTTTCACGATCCTCGAGGTCATGGGCGGCGAACTCATGCCGCGGTCGGGACCATCGACATTGGGAGGGGCGAAATCTGAGCGAAGAGGCTCATGTGCTTATGAGCCACCTTGGCGAGATGATTGACACCAGGCCTGAGATCTGCAGCACTCGATGGCGACAGCATCAGAGCCAGGCACAAACGAAACTACACCACGGTCTCTGCTCTCCTTGATACGCTCGCACAGTGGCTTCACTCGCGACCAGTGCGAGATACCGTCGACAGATCCAGAGCAGGAACGAAATATGACACATGGAAAATAACGAGAAGCTCACGACATTCATACGCCCAATGCCCGCTGCTAGTTGTTCGCATTCAATGCGTGACGCTGTCATCAAGTCCGAAACGAGAGCAAAGGACGAACCCATGGAACCAACAGAACCAAAACAAGCCGAAGATCGTTTACGCCATCGCCACTTGGAACAAAGGACTCTGCACTCGTACGACTTGGATGGAGTCGAGGTGAGATTTCAATTCACCAGGGAGCAGCAAAGTTTCGAAGCTACTCGCTCATTCACGGCTTGAGCCTCTTCACTGTCAACTCGAGCTGCTCTCGACCAGCTTCCAACAACACCTGTGTAGTTTATGTCAAGGCAGCGCTCACAGAGTATAGCACCCGCTCTTGAGTCTGCTCTATCTTGGAAATCCAGTCAGCTGAGGATATGCCACTGGAAAGCGCGGACAACCTCCATCCAGCTCCAAGGCATCAAAAGTGTGTCTTCTTTACCCACCATCTCTCGACTCTACTACGAAGCCCTCGCATGGTCCCGTCAAAGTCCCCAGCAATCAGCATCGCGTTTGTGCTACATCAAACCCCCCAACCCAAAATGTCACCTTCCGACTCCATCATCAATCCGAAACACCTTCAGGCCCATCATGTCACCCCTCATAACAACAGAAGCCCAAGCCAGCGACCTCATCGTCCAAATGCAAACCACCATCGACAAAACCAAAACCGAACCCACCCTCAACACCGAGACCACCGGCTACGAACGCCTAAACATCGTCCTCGAAGACACTGCAAAGCGATGCAAAGATCTCAACAAGACGGAAGTGGAAGATACGTGCCATTGGCTGTTGAAAGAGTTCGATAATCATAACACGCTCAAGGTGGATGCTGTGGATAGGGTGATGTTGGGACTTCTGGTTCAGTGAGTGTTTCGACGTTGGTGGGGATGTTGTAAGGTCTGGCTGATGATGAGAAATTTTTGACTAGGGTCTGTGAGGAGAAGCTACCGGATGAAAGTTGTATGGTTTTGAAGAAGCGGTTGGTGGAGTTTTGTGGGCAGGTCAGAGCTGCTTCGAATTCGGATCAGAGCGAGGAGGGACTGGAAAACGCGAAAAAAACACATTTTGATTAGAGTCCGCGGAACTTCACGAGAGCCCGGTATCAGGAGTTAATGGTTGTATGGTGGATAACGTTGTACCAATTGTCCTCGTGAGCGGTGAGCTGTCGTTTTCAAATCGATCCTTTCAGGCTCTTCTATAGAGGAATGCAACCAGATCTTCCCCGACCATTTTCCCAAAATTAACAGTCAAATGAGGTACATGCCCACTCGCAAACCAAGCCCGAAGTATCTTCTGTGCAACTTAAGAGCTAGTAAAGCGTCATCCGTGGTCGGTGATCGGATGGCCAAAATTCCCATCTCGAAGGCATGCTCCCAGAATCGTAGGATATCTATTCTCATTCGGTACATCGAGCGGAATCCAGAGCTTCGAAGAACGACAGCGAAAGCTCGAATCCTCCAACTTACTCTAAGCTCCTGCTGCTACCCGGGACCAGTTCGAGCCAGAGCCGATATAATGGCATAAGACCTGAGAGATCCAAGACCGAAATACGTCGCAGGATGACGCGAGTTGCCTTCCGAATACCAAAGAAAGCCCGAATGTTGGGATGGAATGTAACACTCGCCGCATTGATGTAGATTGCAGTCTTGGTCGAGGACAATTAGGGAACCCTGTTCTTCCCAAACATCGCTCACAAATATTGAAATCGCGTTGCTTGTGACTGGAGACCCAGAGCGGCGAGGGAGCTGAGTAAATGCATAAGGTAGAATACGACTCGTCTGCAAATCGAGTAGCAAGGAGAGGAATTTGGCGGCAGAGAGTCGTCAACAGCGTCGGCAGCTTTCTTGGTAGACTTGGCCTTCTTGGGTGTCGACGAAGACGCGGTCGGTGGATCTCGACGCTTCTTCGGCGTTGCCGACTTGTTCTTTTGCGCTTCCTGTGCCTTCGCTTTAGCCTCTTCTCTCTTCTGCTAGGCCCCAAGGTCATTTTCCACCATGTCCAGCGTCTTTGTCTCCTCCTTCTGCATCTTCTCCTTCAATCCCGTATGCAGGTCGTAGGGTGGTGTCTCCCTCAGTTGTCACAGCCTGGGCCCGCCACTTATCTCCTCCAACTTGGGTATGCAGCAGACATCAACATCGACTGTGAGGCCTTCGAAGGAAGTGATGGGTTGGAGTGGCTTCAGCAAGTCAGCAGTGTAGATGGATGCGTTTTCTCTCCTCACATGCGTCATCTCAGATATCCTCGCACATGCGTCCTTGGATAAAGTCGGTAGTGGAATCCTTATAAGCAGTAAAGCTGGTGAAGGCATGTACAGGTAAGATCTCAGTAGGTATTGAGTGCACGGGGAGCCATGAATCGCCTTGTGACACTCAGCATTCGTCTCGATACAGAAGATCCAGATCGAGTTTCTATGCAGCTGTAAGTGCAAGATTTGGAAAGATCTTGGGGAGAAGAGATGCTGCAAAGCCGTTACATTGAAGATGGCCTGTGCAGCAGCTCACACACAAGAAACAAAAAAAAAAACTTCAACATCGAATTGCTTGCTTTCCTCACGCACATCAGTCACACTCTCACTCTCGCCGCTTTCGACCACCAAGCCATTCGATAACGACACAGCACCACCAGCACCAGCACCATCACCATCACCATCACCATCACCAGCAATGGAGCGCGGCGAGCAGATCCGCCTGCCCTTCAGGGGGAGCATGGCACCACCACCACCACCACAGCAGCAGCAGCAGCAGCAGGCACCACGTAAGTGAAGAGACATTCATCGACTCGTTACTTCACATTCCTAACTCGATCTCGTAGCACCAACCCAAGACTGGCAGAGCACAGCCATCACACTGCACCAAGAGCTCGAACGCAGAAACGCCGAGCTGCAGCATCTCCAGCACGAACGCACCGCCCACGAGGCCGAGGCAGCAGCCTACATCCAGCGCCTCGAAGCCGAGAACGCTAGCCTCGCCGCCGGCAACACTCGCCTGGCACGCGAGAACAGCCTCCTACGCGGCGCCTCCAACCGCAGCACCACCGCCAACCAAGCGGCTCTCGACGCTGCTGTGGCTCCTTTCAGGCGTGTGTGGGATGCGGCGATGGAAGTCGCGAACCGCGTCCGAGGCCGAGAGAGGGATGTCGAGGAGGAAGGGGCTGTGATGCGACTCGATGTGGCTCTGCAGCAGAATCGGCCGCAATAGGTGAATGGACTGGAGGAAACGGCGTGAGGGCACTCCGTAATTACACTTGTCTAGGCATATCAACGTGAACCGATGTTTGCCTCTCCCGCTCCGTATTCTTGTCGAAGCTACAGTAGTTCGACATGTTGAGTAACCTGTCTCGAGACCTGGTTCGAGACCTTTGCTGATACTCACATAAAAGTGAAACGATGTTCGCCTCTCCCGCTCCGCATGCTTTCCGGCTCGAAGCTGTTCGAAGCTACAGTGACTCGCGACCTTGAGTGAGTAACATGTATCGACATCTTTCCTAATACTCACATGAAAGCAACCTTAACGATATTCTCCTTATGCGCTCTAGAGCATTGTAGATTCCAAGAAATCCGGCTCAAAGTCAGTTGAAGCTGTAATAGTTCGAGATATTGAGTGATCACCGATATGCACTTGAGAAGCCCTAGAATGTGTCTGCCTCTTCCGTTCGCAGCTCCACGATAATGCTAAGCCCGAGTATTCCACCTCGGATCCGATGTCTGCTGTGTGATTGAGGTCCTATAAGCTAAGGTAAGTGAAATGAATAGAACGCAGTTTTCAACCTGCGGCAGCTCTTCACCTCACCCCTTTCGAGCGTCTGCGTTTCCAAACGTGGGCAAAGACATTTTCTTTGAGGACCTGCGGTGAGCGAAGAAGTATCAGGAAGACATCAGATAATGCAGAATGTGAAGAGTGCATCAAAACACTTACAGTAGACACACTCCAAGCCATCGTTGACATCAAGCGCCTGCATTCAGTTAATATTCGTGCCTTGATATGTGTCGAGAAGGGAGAGAGCGGCGTGAAAGGGTTGAATGAGTCAAGACCAGTTTCAGTGATATTGCAGAAGATGTCTAGAATGTCTAGAATTTGGGTATCTCGTGCTGTGTGCCATGTTGAATTCCAGTACTCCGTGAAAACGCCTGCTCCATTTCTGCCTCATGGTTGCGGAGCTAACACCATTCAGCAACGAGGTAATCTTTGGTTTAGACCATCAATAGGTTGTTGATTACCACACCCATACTCTCGAACCAGTACCTTCGCTTTACTCCTAAGCCAGTGCCGAGGTGAATTTTGTTCTTGCCATCACCAACGCCTGTCCTTCTAGCCTCGGCCAGCCTGCCATCCACGAAGCGACCAGAGGCGGAGGCAACTCGTTTGAGAAGGTCTTCAGCATCGTGGGACATGCTGTCGGCAGTATTTCCAGCGGGCTTCGCAGCGCCATTAACCATACACATTGCAATCGGATGCCTTCGCTCGATGCCTGTCGGGGTAAGCTGAGTCTGATCGAGTAGAGGCCGTATCAAAGTGCCTTCTTGTGAACCTGCATCTTCAGGACCGCTGATGACGATGACTAGCTGAAGCGAGCTTGGGTGAGGTGCAAAAGCTGGAATATTAGCCAGCTTGTCGTTGAAACTACAGCTTCCACGCCTAATGATCAGCACCTGATAGCCTTTTGCAATGGCTGCGGGGAGACGATGGTCACAAAGTTGGTCGTCAAGAAAGAAGATTTTGTCATGCAGGAGTTGTCCAGTGGGCACCGCAAGTGGGTCGATATCCATGCTGGCTGGCGGTGGTGCGGCTCCAGGACCAGTCGCCAGAATTGCGGGCAAGTACTGTCTAAGCAGCGTCGGATTACCATTGGCATCGACTGCTGGAGGACGCGCAGGCTGCGGCGTAGTCGTGGAGGCCGCCGAGAACAGGCTGGAGATCATGCCTTGAAGCTCTTCCACCAGCGAGTCCATGGTTACATTTTCGGACACTTCCAGCTCGAAATCGCCAAAGCCCCCACTGTCGCTTCCCTCAGCTGATATGGGCACGTCCACAACAAGATCAATCATTTCAAGGTCCTTGACGCGAGTGAAGTGCGGATCGGTCGGGCTGACGCCTTTGAGAGCTTCGCCGCTGAGAAGCACTTTCTCATCTCGTCCGAGCGCCCAGTTGGCGATCCCATGAATCCGGAACTCGTCGCTAGCAGGCTGCTCGACTAGGACACCACGGTAGTCTGGGAGCAACAGGCTTTTCGACTCCTGCACCATGTTGATGCGCAGATTCGAGAGCGAATTGACCAAGACACCATCTACAATCTTCTGCAGGGCACCAAGTGAGACGAGCCCATTCTCGGCACCTTCATTTATAGTACTGACCAGATTTGGGAAGGTAAGGGTGCTGATAATTGGGCTGAGTATGGGTGACGAAAGGCCTTTGGCAGGTATCAGGGTTCTTGGTAGAGTCCACGGATAGAAAGTGTAATTTGTCGGGCTTCTCACATCAGCGAAAGATATCCCTGGACTCTCTTCCGACATCTCCGCCAATGGCGAAGAGCGAGCTGGATCTTGTCGGGTCAAGTGCAGAAGAGCCATGGCGGAAGCATGAAAGAGATCATCCCGATTTGCAATGTTGCTCGCAGTAAGTGGCAAGGCAGGAAGTGGTGCAGGGCAGGTTGCGGCAGGCAAGACCTGTTGTCGTTCCCACAAGCGTGTTTGGCGCAGAACATCAGTGTCCTGAGGTGCACGTCTGATGCGGTCTGGAATGATCATCGGATGGCCTTCAGTTGTGAAGACGAAAGGCTTGTCGAGCTTGTTGAGTGGATGGTCCTCGGTGAAGAGCAGATAAAGGTACTTGGCGGTCTCGCCGAGGAAGAAGCTCTCCATGCGATCTCGCTGCTCGCCAGTTGTAACATCTGCCAGGTCAGCCCAGCCACACTTGGTCCAGCATCGTTTCCGAATGTCGCGCAAGGTCATCTCGCCGACGTGAAGATAGTATGGATCTTTGGTCGCTTGATACAAGTAGAAAGTGCTTTCGATGAACTCTGGTCGGCCTACCCAGTGCTTGAAGTTCCGGTCGATGAAATTGCTAGCGACATTGTAGCGTTCTGGCAGGGCTCCGAATCGAGTCCAGAGTGCACTGTACAGAAGATGCGACTCAATTGCCTCCTCCAACTGTCCGGCCAAGACCAGTAAGCCAGGGTAGTATGCGGACAAGTTATCAATCCAAGCGTAGCGTGGCGCACCACTCGCCCAATCGACTTGGCCGTAATACGGATGCTTCTCTTGATTACTGTTGTGATAGACATGGTGCTTGACTGCAGAATGGGCCTGCTCCCAGGCAGTCAAGAAACTCTCTGGAGAATTGGCAAGGTGATCGCTGATGTTGTAAGGCAGGTTCGAAAGCAGAATGTGCGACTTGATAGAATATTCGAAGAACGAGTCGATGCCAGCGCCGATGCCAGATAGAGGAGGGTGTGTCCAAAGGCCGCTTTCGGCGTCGACGCCATTTCCTAAAAGTCCGCTGCCTGTTCACAAATCAGTAAGTGTTGCAGCGCCGGTCGATGCAGCGTTTCCCGGATAGAAAGCTGCTTGTTTGCGGAGTCACTCACCTGAACGCCTGTTCCAAATGGCCCAGAATGCTTTCTTTGCCACATTCTCAAAGCGAGGATCGCCAGTCAGCCTGCTGAGGGTTGTGAATTCCAGGACGAGACTGCCAGCGCCGGCCGCGCAATTCTCAGTCGTGTCTCTTGAACCGGTAGAAGTTCCGTCCAGCCTGCACATTCCATTGTCGGCATGGCGGTAAAAAGGGATACCCGTCCGAAGATTGACTCTCGGATACGGGATGTCGGTCGGCGTGGTAAATGCTGGGAGGAGGCGTGAAGCCAGATCGTAGGCCAGACGCAGAAGTTGGTCATTGTAGACGAAGCCGTTCTTCCATTTGATGCCCGGGGTCCTCCCTGTCTTCCACACAGGTGTGTATCCCTTGATGGGCAGGTCGCCTCTCGCGAACAAATGCGCCGAGAGAAGTCCACCCACCCCGCGAATGTTGGTCTCGAACACCTGGACTTTGCTGTCCAAGTCGAAGCCACACGCTCGCATGCCACACGGCTTCTTCTTTGTGCCGTCGCCATACAGCTCGACCAAGCTCTTGACGGCATTCTGGAAGTCGCGGAAGGGGTGGCGCTTGTCCTTGTTGTCGTGGGGGCCAGAGGCCAATATGGCGAGAGTCGACAGGGAGTCGATTAACGTGACGCTGTAGTTTCCGAGAGGGTCGTTGACTCCGATATCTGCTGGATTGTCGCGATTCCTGGTCTGAGGGCCACACGTGATTGGCTTCAGCTCGTCGTCGGGGAAGGCATGGGACATGTAGTTGTCGAAGCCATGGTAGAAAAGGTCTCGGGTGTCTTGTCGGAGTTGCGAGATTAGGGAGTTATCGGTCGCGCAGAGAACGGTAGTCGCTCCGGTGATCAGGAGCTGGATGGCGAGCCGCATTTGCATTTCCACTCATTGCCATGACCTTGAAAGCACGGCGGAGGAATGTGTGCGTATGTGCGTGCGCATTTTGACATGCAATTGTGGTGGACAGTACAGCTGGCGTTGGCGTTGGCGTTGGCGTTGGCGTTGGCGCTGGCATTTCGATGACCATCCCTTCCCTTCCCGCTTCCCGCGTGCACTGTTCGCAATCCACCGCTTCGGATTCGGCTTCGCACTCGGCTTCGGAGGTGTGCAGCCCGTGCGTCTCGAGATCTTTCCACCCGCTGCAGATTTGAACATTCACTGTCAACTTTCATGTGCATCTGCTCTAGCCTGCTATCACATGCAAAAGAGCGCTTTACGTGGTCGTGGCCTTCTCACTGCGCGAAGTGTAGAAATTCCCTCTGCGCTGTTCCTCTCCGAATATGCTGCCCCGAGCAGCAGCTCTGCGAGCCTCTAGAGCTACCCATCTACCACATCTTCGCCATGCCACCATAAGCGCATCTGCCTCTCCCTCTATACAGCTGAGAACATACGCCTCTTCGAAACCTCCGCGACCGCCGCCGCCGCCGCCACCCAAAGCTTTCAAGCCGGCACCAGCGCAGACTCACCAGACATCGCCTCGTACAGCACTGCCCAAGGATCAGACATGGAAGCCGAATGATGGCATCCAATTCGAGGGCGCATCCTCCACGCCAAGCAGCCCAGGTGCGGCGGCGGCGGCGGCGGCGGCAGGAGCTACAGTGGGCGCTGAATCGCCAGTGCAAGGCAAGAGAACCGTAGACCCAGCATCGACTACCACATCTCCGCTCGAGGGCGATGCGGTAGGCAGCTTGCTTGACAAAGCGCAGGTGGAGAAGGTGCAAGAGCTACGCGCCAAGGGCATGAAGTGGGACGAGATCGCGCTGGAGCTGCAAAAGAGCTTGACTCCAGAGCAGCAGCGCATGTCGCAGAAGCTCGGCCAAATGCACGCAGAGGGCAAGAGTCTGGCGGAGATCGCCGAGGCATTCAAGGTGGAGATGGGCCAGGCGAAGCAGCAAGAACAGCCGATGGAGCCAATGGCGCAGAAGTTCGACGCAGATGAGCCAGCGCCAGGTGGTATCAGAGAAGAGACGCAGCGAAAAGAAGCCGTGGTGGAGAACCAGTCGCAGCCTCCAGAGACACCATCAGCAACAGGACCATTACCTGACCTCCGACATGGTATTCCATCAACTTTTGATATAGAGTTTGGCCAAGCCAAGGCCAGGGCTCAGGAGCAGGATGCGGCAGAATCGCAAGAAGACAAGCTGGATTTGACTTCTTCGCCAGAGGGAACGCGAAGGAAGGAAGGCGAGGAGCGCGACTATGACCGCTCAGCATACGAGACCTCGCTGGACAGGAGACGTGCCCGGCTCGTGAAATACGTGTATGCCTCCATGACATTTGGAATCTTGCTTACCGGCTTCTACCTTTCCCGTCCCTACAGCGCATCTGACGAGCTGCCTTCTGGATTTGAGCCTGAGAACGCTGATGGCTGGTCGCCTGCGAAGATGTGGGCTCGTGCCAGAGCGCGCTTCGGCAACCAGGCCGGCTACTATACCGAGCCGGCTTTCCCTAAGCTTCTCCCAGATGTGCCTGAATCCCAGCGACCTCCATACACTTTGGTACTCTCCCTCGAAGACCTCATGATTCACACCACCTGGGACACCAAGCACGGCTACCGCACTGCCAAGCGCCCTGGCATTGACTACTTCATCCGCTACCTCTCCCAATACTACGAGCTGGTCCTGTTCACATCTGTGCCACGCACCATGGCAGATCCAGTTATTGCCAAGCTCGACCCATACCACTTCATCATGTGGCCATTGGGACGCGAGGCGACCAAGTACGAGAAGGGCGAGTACGTGAAGGATCTCTCCTACCTCAACCGTGATCTCAAGAAGACTCTCATCATCGACACCCATGCGCCTCATGTCAAGAACCAGCCGGACAATGCCATCATCATTCCCAAGTGGAGTGGAGACCCCAAGGACCCGCATACCAAGGACCTGGTATCTCTAATTCCCTTCCTGGAATATGTTGCAACTATGGGCACCGACGATGTACGCACAGTGCTCAAGTCATTCGAAGGCCAATCCATCCCGGAGGAGTTTGCTCGAAGAGAGGCCCTCGCTCGCGAGAAGTTCCAGGCTCAACTCAGCGAAGAACGCAAGCGAAAGTCGAAGTTCTCTCTTGGTAGCTTTGCAGGTGCCTTGGGTGTCAAGGGCGGAAGCGGCATGGGTGGCGGCATGCAGCTCGCAGATGGCCAATCCGTAGCGGAAGGCTTGGCGCAAGGGAAGATGCTGTCGGACCAGATTCGCGAACAAGGTCAGAAGCAGTACGAAGCTCTTGAGAAGCAGATCCGAGAGCATGGAGAGCAATGGCTGAAGGAGGAAGCGGAAGAGCAAAAGAAATTGATGGAAGCCCACGCGAAAGACATGAAGCAAGGTGCCATGTCTTGGCTCACTGGTGGCGGCGAACCCAAGAAGGAGTAGGATACGGATGTTGATGGGCCATCTTCGCTCTTGTTATTGTAGACCATGTGTTCTGTTCTGCTGCATTTAGCGATGGCAGGGATACATGAAGGCGTGTATGCGACGGGAGGCGCGCTGTACAGATTGCGTGGCTGGGTGTATCAAATCCGAATGTACAGCATATTTCGACCTTTTGAAGCCACCTTGGCGCTCTCGACGGCATGGCATGATGCTTTCGAGTGTTAAGATGATGAAGAAGCATGTGCTAGGATGATGCAGACGCTCGAGGCATAGGGACACGATCGTCGCGCTGCCTTGCCTTTCCGATGATAAGGTACGTGTAGTCAAGCCGCCAGATCCATCCCAAGATTCGTATGAGCGTATTGGGTGCAGAGAGCGAGGAAAGGGAGATATCTGGTGATCAGTACGATGGTGGTGGTCATTGTCACTCACGTATACAGCCCTGTCATCCGTCAGTCTGCATCGGCTCCACACATGGTACGACCGTGGTACAGGGTTAACATGTCTTAAACATTTCTTTGTACTGTATATGCATCGTCGAAGAATTTCGCGCATGCACGGGGAGGAGTCTCAACGGTAGAAATGAGTGGTGCAGATGTTCCCAACCGGCATACGAGAAGTGGATATCAGAGTGGAACACGGCCTTATGCATGGAAGGATTTTGGAAGGGTTTGCGGTACAGTGATGGGTCGGCAAGGATGTGGACAGGGAGTTTGTGGAGGGTTGGGTGGGTGCAGATGTGAGCTATCGTTGATTGTGGTACAGTGGGTAGATGGGCAAGACATGGCGTTGTGAAAGTGTATCAGCATGTGCGTTCTGATTGCAAGCAGGAGGAACGTGGGCGTGGGCGTGGGCGTGGGCGTGGACCTGGTTGATCTCCGTTTGGGATTCCATTCACATGCAATCCAATGCAACCGCACAGCAGACCAGAATTTCTCAACCCATTCGCACGCCATCCCATCCCATCCCGTCCCTGTCCCACGACGCAGACGCGCACACGTGTAGCTGGCCCGACCGCCTATTCACTTTGCGAGTCTTTGATTGATCTGAGCCCGGTGTCGTGCATGTGGCTGCAGCTGCTGATCGCTGTCTGACTCGTGTGCGCCCGCCTGCACCTTGCCGTCGTCGTCGTCGTCGTCGTCGTCGTCGTCCATCCAGCGTCGTTTGGAAGCACAACAAACTGTCCCGTTGTTGTTCCCGTCGGCGGCAGAATCACATCCCAGGCTCAGCCTAAGTTATGCCACATGGAGTGAGACGGCGCTGATGTGCATTGTGCACACCTCGCGGCCCATCCAGTGGCCCCTGCACGCCTCGCCTGCCTGCATCTGCAAACCGAATTTCACAGTAACTATTCGTGCCACATCAGCAGTGCCGCCCTTTTTCTACCCTCCCTCTCCCTCTTTCTCCTTTCGCCATGTCCGCTCCACCCCAACCCTCACTCACAGCGACCTCCTCCCTGACGCCCACTGACAACAACGCTGCCGCCGCCGCCGCCGCCGCCAACACGGCTTCCACCTCGGCACATCCTCCACCGAACGCGCCCGACCCAACTTCGTCCTCATTTTCTGCCTCTGCCTCCCCCAAACCGCAAAATGCCGACAAGGGAGGACTCGCCTCCGCCTCTGCCGCCAGTCCCGCCGAACTCTCCCGTCTTAAAGTAAGGCTCAAGGGCGGACTGCGGCAGTTCCCAGATTTCCCGTCGCCAGGCATTCTATTCGAGGACATCATGCCACTATTCAGCTCACATGATCTCCACAGCGATCTCATTACGGCTCTTGAGTACCAACTTGCGGCGAGCTTCCACACGACCATTGGCGAGAAGAGCGAGATCGATGTGATTGTGGGCTTGGAGAGTCGGGGCTTCCTGTTCGGCCCGACGTTGGCGTTGAGAGTCGGTGCGGGTTTTGTGCCTGTGCGAAAACCGGGCAAGTTGCCTGGTGAGACGGTGGAGGAGAGTTATCGGAAAGAGTATGGAGCGGATGCCTTCCAGATGCAGGCTGATGCGATCAAGCCCGGACAGAAGGTGGTGATTGTGGACGATATCATTGCGACGGGTGAGTGGTATACATGAGCTTTGGGCGAGTATCAGCAAAAGTCCAGGCTAATCCATGGTCCAGGCGGCACTGCAGCTGCTGCCGGCAATCTCGTCCAGAAACTCGGCGGACACCTCCTCGGCTACGTCTTCATTATGGAACTGGACTTTTTGAAGGGCAGAGAAAAACTCAATGCTCCAGTTCATACGTTACTGAGTGCGCAGGACGAGGCCCTCAAGGCGCAATAGTTGGGTGGTGCGAGGCAGACAGACAGCTGCCAAGCTCCAAAAACACGATAGAGAAAGAGTAATATATGAGCGATCAGCATCAGGTTGGGCGGCGTGGGCACACTACAAGAAATTGAAGGGGGAGGCGATTTGTTGCTGGGCGCGATGATCTGCGTCCCTCGGATAGTGGTTTAGTACAGGCAGTGCGCAAAGATAGAGCACTGGATATGAAATGATACCCATCAGCGAAAGAAAGCATGCCATTGCTAGCATTTTTTTCACCCAATTCTCGAGCGTATGTTATTAACTGACGAATCACCTACACCCTTCGCCAGATTCTTCGCAACATCCATTGGAACGGCGGGATGCGATCTCAAGATACCTCGAAACGTGGAACCGGAACATTTGTATGCCAGTCGGCAACATCTCCTGCGAGATTCCAGCCGCCAACAGCTCAATTGAGCACTTCTAAGCAAAGCATTCCGGGTCTAGAATAATTACTGCTATTCCAGTCGGTGGTCGGAAGCTTATGTAATACTAGAGCTCACGCAGCTGAACTTGCCGCCCACGGCTTGATCTGTCAGCTAGGCCGACGACCCCTCCTGCAAGTCACTTCATTCATTCGAAGTCCAGCGAAACTGGTTGTCTTCATGGGTGCACATCCAGAATACGTGGACGGGCTGAGGCATTGCGGGGAGTGCGAGAAAGGTAAGGCTCTCCTTGACGTAGAAGGTTGTGTCGTTGGGGACGCATATGCAAAGGCTTCGACGCAACGTCTAAAGCAACAGCAGCTCACGACGGCTCACCCAATGGCATCGATCTCGACACCCATCCCACCGCCCAGAAACTCGCAACAAGAGCCCAAGAATTCATGACCGAGATTCAAAACCTGTACGACCGACCAGAGACTTCCGTGAAGAACCCCTACTGTACCTAGCAGACTAACATCTTTCCAAGCACGCCCGGAAAAGACCTCGAAAGCCGCCTCAATCGCGACTACGGCCCAGGAACCCCCTACTACGAAGACTTCTGCAAATACATCAAACAAGGCCTCGCAGAAGGCTGGGTCGCAACCCACGAAATCGACGGCCCAAAATACCGTCGGGGAAAAGTACGCAAAAGACCCCCTCCCCTCCCCTCTCCATCCACCATACAGCTACCTTATTTTCCCAGATCTCCCTCCCCTCCCCCTCCACCCTCTGGATGTCCCTCACAGCCGTCTACTTCGATTCCCAACCTTCATATTCCGGGCAATACCACCGACACCCGTATGGAGAGATTAATTGTGTTGTTCCTATTGATGAGGGGTTTGAGCTCGAAGGTTTGCCTGAGGGGTTTTGGCAGGGGGCGGGTTGGACGAGTCCTGGGGCTGGGACGCAGCATTATCCTAGGGCGAGAGGGGGAAGGGGTGTGGCGTTTTTCTTTTTGCCGTGTGGGAGGATTGCTTATGATGGTGGAACTTGAGGCGGGGGAGGAGGAGGGGGGGGGGGGGGGGTTGATTTGGAGAAGGAATTATTAGATAGATCAGAAAATTCTATGCTTACCGAATTGAAGACGCATGTCACGAGTGGCGTTTAGGCAAGGCGAAGGCTGGAGTTTTTGGTGGAATATAGGAACAAATACGAGTGCCTCCTCGGTTCACTTTTGCCTGCTAGAATTCTCGATCTCGAACCTCTGCGATTGCCGATGATACAACGAACGTTTGGGAGTTGAAGAGGATACAAGTATGAGGAGTCAGGAGAGAAGAGAAACAATGGAGGGATGACCAGTTGACGGGAACAGTGGCACAATTCAACAACTTGTATATTCAGGTCTTCGTCTGCCCGCCATCAGGTCGTGATTACTCGGGCTCCTCGTTGTCATGGCTGAGATTTGGAAAGCGTAGTTATACGGTTAACATACTCAAGATGGATAAGTATGGAGGAGTGAAGAACGTCAAGCATGCATGCATCCATCTCGAATTTTTTTCACACCCAGCCATCTTCCGTGCAGTCTGGTGATGAATCTCGCAATGCCTCGCTTCTCGTAATCACCTTCTCCCTGAACGCATCAATTCAATACCTCGCCTGGATCTGCCGCCACTCAACACAGCTTGCGATGCCAGAGGTGCCCGGGATAGCACAGCTGAGATTTCAGATGGAAGCTCCCTCATGGACTTCTTCAAGTGACCCAGGCGGCCTACTTGAGAGGATGAAACATTCTCTCTACGCATGCGCCAGCTCTGAGTGTCAGGACGGGCTGCGAAATGCTATCTTGAAGCTCTTGCAACACATGGAACGTCGTGCTTCGCTTCGCAGGCTGGGAAGACTTTTGAGCATCAAAGAAATCCCCCAACAGTGCTTGCCAGCTCCAAGCACTTGGGATGGAGGTCAGCTCTTGCGAATGTAATGTAATCCAAGGTCAACCCACTGGCTGTACTTCTTCAAATTGATCTTTTGTCGCCCGTCTGCACCTGTCAACAATTCAAGCGGCGACGTGAAGCTCACGCAGACTGTTGATCAATGAGGCAAAGCTGACTTAACCTCTCTTCACCCGTTTCAGCAGCTAGCTAGCACAATGGCTCACTCTCACTCTCACTCTCACCTCACTTTTCATCCCCTCGGAAATAGCCTCCCCTATCTCCTGTGAGAATACTCTCCTGTTCAGCCAGCAGCACCACCCCCAGCATCCCAGCAGCACTCCTGGCCAAAATCCAACGCCTTCTTCGCCACCACCACCTCCCAAGCTCTCACAAGCTCCGCCCTGGTGTCCACAAACTCATGCAACTCGCAGAGAACACCGTCGAGTTCATTCGCGAGCCTAACGGATCCTGGTCGAGCGAACGGAGAGACTGTGCGCGCATGGATCGAGCAGGCTCCGCATTGGATCGATCACACGGGCGGGCACGCCTGGTATGTCCATGTAGATTCGCTTGTATGTACGAAAGAAATGCTGAAAGTGGTAAATTTCCGCCCCTTCCCGGGAAAGAAAATGTTTGGGGGGATTCTCGAGGGACTTTTTTTTTTCCCCCCCCCCCCCCCCCCCCCCGAATTTCACTTCGAGCGCGTGTTGTCTTCGTCTGGAGTTGTGCGAGACATCGCAACGGTGGAAAGGGGAACGACGGCCGATTCGAATCAAAATGTGGAGTGAAATTCGATTTTCTGGGACGGGGGGTGAGAGCGCTGTTGGGCATATTTTGAGTTGTTCGCTGCATGAGATGGTGCACGCGTTCCTTGGGATTTATATGTGCGATGGACGGTGTGGGGAGGCGCAGTGTGATTGTGAGGGTGATTATGAGTTTCTGAGAGATTTCGGGGTCAGTGGGCACGGCCGGGCATGGCAGCGTCTGGCGGCAGCAGTGGAGTGGAGAGCGATGAGGCTGACTGGTGAAAAGTTGGATTTGAGGCGTGCTGTTGGGGTGCGGGATGAGATGGCTGGGACTGGGATTCGGCCGACGACAGAAGATCTCGACCGCTGTGGCCTTCGGTTTCGATAGCATGGCTGAGGTGCTAGGGTCAAATCCCGAATGAGAAATGCTGCTGCACAGTCGGAGTTGCAGTGCCGTACGAGCTGAAATCCATCCGCCCAAGGCTTCATTAGATCTTTGAGGAGCTCCCTACCTTCTTCGGCCCTCCACCCATATGTTTGATCCACATCTCATCAACCCTCTGCTTCTCACCCAAAGGCCTAGCCCACCACTCCTCCAACCTCCTTCTCTGCTCTCCATACACCACCAACCGCTCACCAACCCACTCCGCAATCGCCTCCGCCGTCTTGCCAGGAACTTCCATAGGAATCAAATGCCCAACACCTTCAAACGTAACATCCTTCACCTGTCCCTCAGCCTTACCCCCAGAACCCCCAACTCCAATCCCCGTCATCACCGTCTTCTGCAAATTCCTCGCCGCATCAGCAATAAACGACAACTCGCCAAAAACATACAAACAACTAGGCCGCAATTCGGGAAGTCGTGCGTGTACGGCGATGGGTTCGGAACGATAGAAAGGAAACTGATTCGGGACTCGAGGGTCGATATCTGGATGTGTTGCTCGATTTATGGGTTTGCCATCTTCACCATAACCTTCGTAATTCGGTCGTAAAAAAGACCAGACTTCCTGTGCCGGAGGTGTGGATAAACTGACCTGTGGGGGATTCGCATCAGGATGTTGAGGATTCGGACAATCTCGCAGACCAAATCTCACCCAACGATCGAGAACTCTCGGATCCCAGATTTTGTAGAAGGGGGATCTGAGGAACGAGGTTTTAGCTTGGTCTCGAGAAGGCCAGAGGTCGCGGCGGAAAGTGGATTGTTTTGCTGCGTTGGATTTTTCGCCGGGGGTGATTTCTGCGCTTTTGGTTTGGATGACGGGGTCGATGAGGATGATTGTTGTGAAGAGGGAGGGATGGTCTAGGGCTAGTTTGGCGATTTGACAGCCTCCCATGCTATGGCCAATGCCGATGATGGGGCGTGGCATTTCGGAGCGCTTCAGGTTGATCAGGTTCATGAGGTCGCGAGGGTGGTCGTACCAGCCTGGGTCGTTGCCGATGACCGTCTCGTTGAGTGCGTAGCTTGCGGCGTGCCAGGCAGTGTCTGCCACCCATATGCTTCGGATTCGCCATCCCTGTGCTTCTGATCGAGATGCTAAGTCTTCCCAGAGAGGTTCGTAAAGTTCCTTGTTGAAGCCGACTGCATGTGCTGCTATCAATGTGACATCCCCAGGTTCCGGGCTGCGATTGTTTTTTGGGATGTACTGCTTGACTGCAAGGTAAAGAACATCTTCTTCCGAGTTTGCTGTGGCTCGTGGGAACTCGCGTAGGTGGGCAGCGGGCACCTTGTGTTCGATCACGTCGAAGTTGTCCATTAGACAGGAAGCTGTTTGGCTTTCGCCTAGAATATCCCGGTACGAACCTCCTGGTCTGATGTATGAGTTGCGTCCGAGTCGAGTTATGCTGCTCTCAGAAGATGCAATCGGTAAACGTCGGCATGGAGAAGAATCGCAGCCGAGGTAGGGCCCATGAACATTTGATTGGTTTGTTCTGCCCGGTTGAGAAACAGTGCTAGAGTCGTCTATGCTCATGAGTCCTCTACACGAAGACTTGCTACCTTCGGGGACTACAGCATTTCAAAGCAATTGCGCTGCATGTGTGAGTCTGGGGATATTATAGGTGTCGCAGAAGGCCAATCAGTGAAATACAAGCCCGGCTCTTATTTTCTTCGTGCTTCTGGTATCTGCTCCCCATAACCTCGTCGTGCTGACTACTCTCTGCTCCCGCCTAGGCGGCATTACTCGAAGCCTGCCTCTGATGCCCCAAACCCTTCCGCAGCCGTCTCACCGAGTTTGTGTTGCAGACGACACCCCAATAGACGCGACAGGTCTCGATCACATTGAGGCTGGGGTTGCCATATATCCATTCTGACTCTTGACTCTGCCTGTCCTTCGATTGCGCTCGCTCTGCACTTTCCGGCTCTTCCTTGGTCTGCTTGACGCTTGTCTGCTGTGGGAGCTCGTCCTGGGCTTGTTGGATGTGAACGTCGTTGATCCAGGCTTGAATGGGGCCTTCTCCTGTCGTGCTGACGAGCTTGGGCAGCGTGGTTTTCAAGTGCTCGACCACCAATCGACTTTGCCTTTTGACTCTGACGATGAAGCGATCTTCGGGAATCGGGCCAAGGTCTTGATGGAATACCATGGTTGCGGGTGCGAAGAGGTTGCTGCGATTCTTCTCGGGGGTGTCTTCGGGGACAGCGGCGAGTGGATTTCTGTGTGTCTAAGCAATCACAGATTGTATGCCGGCAGCTGCGCAGCATATATGCTCACTCGGGCTCGTCAGACCAGCCCAATCTGTCAATGTGTGATCTTGCTACGTGACCTACTCCCAGACACCCACCCTTTGAGCACTCGCTAAGCCATCTTGATGTAGCGGTCTTGGGCTGTACCTGCAGACCATTGGCGACGTCGCTGGTACGAGAGAAAGCAGGAGGGCAGGTCTCGGTCAGGGTGATGCGTCTGGTCAGAGCATGTCTCCGAGGCGTCCCGGTTCAAAGCTCTCAGTTGCTCTGAGATTTGGAGCAGTCTGCGGCCCTACGCCGCGTCTCTTGAGTGTGGTGTTCTCCATGATATTGTGATGCTTGTTTGAGCAGAGGGTGAGAAGGGCTTGCTTGGGGTGCAGGCGGTTCTTGTAGGGAGGCCTATACATACTAGAGGCTCAATGCGGGGTTTCTTATACCTCTTACCGCTATTACTACCTAATTCTTCGTGTTTGACCTTCTACGACTCGCAATATACTCGCTATTGACTCGTAGAATGCCTCTACGTATCGATTTATCGCTATAGAAGGCTTAGATAATATCTTAAGTCTATAGCGGTACTATACGGGAAGCAATCGTATAGTACCTTATATAGGAGACCGGTTATTAGATATCCCTTAATATACTTAAACGAAGGCTTAAAGAGTAGAATATTAATTATAGCTACTCTACTTACTATTACCGAGTTAACGATATTAAGATACTAAAAATCTAGGTCGTATATACCTTCTACGTTCTACGGTTAACTAATAAAGAGGCGGTTCGAGTACTATAAGCGGATAGGTTTAAGATTAGCTAGCGGAGGTATTAACGGATACGTTAAGAGCTTAGATTAAAGAAGGCATTATTAGTAGATAGATAGATAGAAGCGGAAGAATAGATAGTAGAGGTCTTATAGAAAGAGCTCGAGAAGTCTATAGTAGAGTCCTTTAGCCGATAGCACCTATATACCTATATTAGGTCTAAATACAATATTATTAGTAGAGATCGGCTATATCGTATAGCTTCCTTACTAAATCCTAAAGGGTTGCGAGTCCGCCGCGAGCGGGCGCGAGAGTACTATAGAGCGATTATTATACCCGGCCCTAGTTACGTAATATTAATAGATGCTTACTATAAATTCGAGTATTAGGGGATATAGATCTACGTAGCGATTGATATTTACTCGCGTTATATTATCTAGATCTATATAGGTATTACTAGCCGGATAGCTATCTCTATACTAGCTTAATACCTTATAACGATCCGGAATAGTAGTATAATGCTATAGATTATTCGATTAGACCGTAGGGTAGAAACGATTCTAGCCGCGGACGCTTACTATAAGACTCGCCTTACGACTCGTAGTAACCTAGAATAAGAACAACCGCTCGCCTTCGAGGACTACTTTAAATACGGTACGAGTAAGATAAACTAGCGGATTAAGGCATAGTAGCGTTAGTAAGCACTTGTACTAAATAGCTAGAGGGGCTATTTCTACGAGTTACTACGCGAGTTACTATACGATACTAAACTGCTAGCGGATCGGATTGCCTTCCTTGCAATCTATATACTAATTATACGTTATAAAGTCCTCGAATTTGTTTACCTCTAGAATAGCTATCGTATCCGGAAGTAGGCTAATCGACTATACGTTATACTAGGTATTCCGTATATTCTATACTATTATCTAGAGCTTAGCGGGCATTCTTATTAAGGTATTCCTATACCTAACGGTGCACTTAATAATATAGAGTAAGACCTTTAAGGATTCGGTATATATTAGATTCTATAGTATAGACTCGCTACAGACTCGCTAATAGACTCGCTAATTCCTAGATCTTAAAGCCTACCTACCCGAGGCTACGCTTTCTTAGTATAAGACAGCATTATAGATTTATAGCTTCTCGTATCTAGTAAGTAGTAGCGAGAATAGCGATAATGTAGAGCGCCTTTACCGCTCTGCCTACTTGCTTCTTCGAGGGTTAGCTAGGGAGTATATAGCTATAGGGTTAGAGCCGGAACTAATAGAGTTAGATAAGCTATTAGTAGCACGTAGTTAGTTAGCGGCGGCTCGGAATTAGGAAGCTAGGTTAATTGAGTTTGCAAATAATGTATACTAATCTCCGATCTACGAGCCGGCCGCGAGTATATAGCGAGTCTCTTTTTCTAGTTCGATTTTATCTATAACCGTCTTAAACCTCTACTATTTCTACCTCTATTTATCTAATAACTAACAATGCCTACTAATTAGGGCACCTATTGCACTAAATTAGGCGTCGACTATACAAAGATATATAGTAAATACCGATACTATTTATAATGTAGCCTTCTTAATCCCGATCTACTAAGCGAGCAATTTGTTCGCGAGTAATTAGTAGCCGCCGCTACGAGTAGCTCCGCGAGTACGGTACGAGGCTTTAATACGTTCCCCTCTATACCTAAGGCGGCTAATACTATACGCAATGCTGCTAGTTAGTATTACAAGCTAGCAACTCGAATACTAAATGCTAGATCTCGGAGCCTCTCGCAACGTCTACTAATACCTACTTTAGCTTTAGCTTTATTAGACCTAAAAGTATAGGAATACTATTGCCGCTATTTGATCTATACTTAGTATATAGAAGTTAAGCTTACGAGTACAACTAAGATATAGTTCTATAGTAAACCCGCCCTATATACTACTATTACGGATGCCTAGTCTAACTAAGAATTCCTCGAAGCCGAGATAACATTTATAGACTAGATTATAGACCGGATTGACGCCTACGAGCTACTAGATAGTAGTATTAATCGGACCTAGGACTATTTTAACTACTTCCTCTATATAGACTTTAATCCTATAACTAATTAACTAGAGAAGCTAGCAAGTAAGGCGCTTCGATTACTTAGATAGGCTTTAACGGTCTACAAACTAGCAATAAAGTTATTATTAGTCTACGAGATTAAGCTCTATATCTAGACTAAGCAGGAGAAGTAGTAATAACAAAAGCGGAAACATCGGTTAAGTACTATTACTACGAGTACTAGTGCGAGTAATATAGCGAGTTAGCAAAAGGTAGTTAATAGTATTAAGATTAAGAAAGAAAAGCTATAGACTAAGAAGGTTATCGATACGAATTAGCCGCCTAAGATAATTAACTTAAGCGGCGATACTACCGCGAGTATACCGCGAGGCACGCCTATTCCGAAAGGGTCGAGCAAATTAAAGGATTAGCAACCTACTAATAGATAGGCTAATAGCGGCGAACAAGCTAATAGCGGCGGACAGGCTAATAGCGGCGGACAAGCTAATAGCGGCGGATAGGCTAATAGATAGGCTAATAGACAGGCTAAGAACACAAAGCGCAGTTAACGACTAAAGAAGAAGAGATAGAATAGTAGACTCGTAGTAGACTCGCTATAGACTCGCTCCTTAAACATTATCTACTAATAGCTCGCGATCGCTATTCAGCTATAGCTCCTTCTATATCGTATATACATCCTTAGACTTAATAATAGCCTTATTCTTAAGCTATTTAAACTACGAGAAGCAATATCCTTCTAACTTATCGAACCTAGCTTCTAATACCTTAATCTTTGCCTCTAGTTTAGTATTCTTTGCCTCTACGGCCTCGACTCGCGCCTATATCGCGGCTAGCTCGCTATTTCTATCGTCTTCTTTAACCTCTTCTATACTAGCCGTATAGCTAGACTTGCTCTTATACTTGTAATAAGCGTAGATACGCTCGCCCTTAGCATTAAGTATACGACACTCAAAGTTATTAAAGCGTGTGTAGTAGTAGTATAGCGCTAGTGCAAGCTTACTAGAGTCCGTTTCTATAATAATTCTAGTAGCCTTATATTTCCGTAGTCTATTTAATACTACCTTCTTCTTATCCGGTATTACTATCTAATCGAGTAGCTCTTGCTATATCTACGCGTTATAGTACTAGAAATCGTAGGTATTTATAGTCGTAGGGCGTCGAAGTCTAGAGCGAGTTAGTAGCGAGTCTATAGCGATACGCCTCGCGACTTACGATAAATATTCTCCTCCTCCTACTAGTAAGTACGCTACTAAAGCTAAAGCTAAAGCTAAAGCTAAAGCTAAAGCTAATGCTAATACTAAAGCTAATGCTGCTAAAGCTACGCTAAGAATAAGGTCGCGCGGAATACTAGTTATAGCGGCTACTACTATCGCTATCGGTATCGGTATCGGTATCGATAGAAGAAGAATATTACGAGGTAAGGCGCGGAAGTGTAGCGAGTCTAAGTAAGGTTTGTCGCGACAATAGGTATAGTAAGGTTAGTAAGGAAGGTGCAGGAAGAATAGGAAGCGACAATAGGCAGAAGTGAAGCCATTGAGCCTCTAGTATATATAGAGCTCCGTCTTCTTGCGGATGCTCAGCCGAGAGCCGCAGACCTGGCCAAACTACCTCTACGGAGTTCGCAGGCGGTCTTCTCCTACAATAGCGCCATCTACGAACATTTTATCTAAACAACTGTTGCGCGAGAGTATTGCAAGCGAGCCATTCTTCTCCTACAGCATACGATTTCCATTCGTGATCCTTCACGTAGTCGAGACGAGATGGAACTTTGCAGCTTCGGCCAAAAGGCGCACGAAAGAGCATTGTACTTCGAGGCGGAAGGGTAAAACTGAACTTCCTACATAGTGCTGTGATCATCGAAGGAGGTTCTCGTGTCTCTACAATAGGCGGCGGCAATGGCCCCAACGCTGGCTTTGGAAGACAACAAACGCGCCAACACTTGAGCATTCACCGCCTACCACATCACAGGACATCATGGACAGCTTCCTGGGTCTGCCGGTGTCATCCTCGACAAACCTCCCAGCAGAATCCTCTTTTGCTGCTGAACAACAACAACCATTACACAGTACGAGCCCTCTACCACGAGGATTCAATACCGCAAGATATAGCCAAAAGGTCAAGAAATTTTGAAAAGTCGTCAGGCTGTAAACAGGCATGAGCCGGTGCTTGGTTCTTTTCTCTCTCAAAAGAAAATCCTCGCTGAGATCCATACGGCTTGAACTTGATCCAGACAATACTAGCGAAGAAGAATCATGCTTCCCAAAACAAACCCCTCCCATAAATCCTGCCAGTGCAACTCCTAACTCTTCACAGGTGTATATGCATATACCCAGCATTCCTCCGGCGACGACTTCACAACCCGAGACATAGAAAAAACCCCTCAACCCTTCCCCTCCACCCCACCAACTCCACCACCTCCCAAGCCCAACCCCCATCTCATCCTACCTCCGCTCCCTCCAAATCGAAACCCGCGGAATCCAAAGAATCCCCCCCTCCTCACGCCACTACCTCGGAATCCAACAAATCTTCCTCCTCTGGTTCAGCATATGAGAGGTATGCTTGGGTTCCGCAGGTGGTTGTGATTTCGATTTTGGCGGGTGTGGCTGGGCCGAAATTTGATATTTATGGAAAGCCGGAGGGAGTGGAGGGGAATGTTGTGGGAGGGAATAGGTTGAGCTTTTTTAGCTTGTGTCTGGCGGCGATTATTACTTACGCTCAAGGCGCTGCGGACTTCTTTGTCTATTATCCGGTTGAGACGGTGAGGTGGAAGGTCTTTGTTTCTACGCTGGCCGGTCTGGTGTTTTCGTCGACCTATGCTCTGGTCGTCGGAGTTGGCCTCGGGTCAGGCGTGGCCACCAACCCAGACTGGGCTGCAGCGTATCAGAGAGGTCAAGGTGCACTGCTTGTCGAAGCTTTCAAACCACTTGGCTCTTTCGGCTCTTTCTGCAGTGTCATGCTAGCTCTTTCTCTGATCGGCAACATGGTCCCTCCGACCTATGCTTCTGGCATCGATTTTCAGGCACTCGGGAGGTATTGGGAGAAGGTACCTCGGATCGTGTGGAATACGGTCGCACTTTTGATCGCGATAGTGTGCGGTATTGCAGGAAGAGGTCGTCTGGCTGAGATCTTCACAGATTTCCTTGCTGTCATGGGTTACTGGGTCAGTGTCTGGATCGCGATCGTTCTCGAGGAACATATCATCTTCAGAAAATGGAAGCGACTTGGCTGGAATTGGGAGGCGTGGAATGATCGGACGGGGCTTCCTCTGGGCATCGCCGCGCTTGTAGCATTTCTGGTGGGATGGGGTGGCTCCATCTTGTGCATGGCTCAGGTGTGGTATGTCGGGCCTCTGGCTAGGCTAATCTCGGTGCATGGTGGTGATGTGAGTATTGCCTCCGACTCCTTCCTTCTTACTGCCCATCTGAGCTGACATCTGCAGATGGGTAACTATGTCGGCTTCGCGTGGGCTGCGATCGTGTATCCGCCGCTTCGTTCGGTGGAGCTTCGCGTTTTCGGGAGGTGAGCGTGTCTTGAGGGGTTGGTGTGCTCGGCCATACTGGAGGTGTCGCTGTAACAGGCTCTGAATATGTGTATTTTTCGAGGACCATACACGATCAATGGCTGACCAATGCACTATCTTTTTGGGAAGGAGATTGTCCTGAGCGAAGACTCAAAAACATGGCTTTCGAATCTACCGCATTGCCAGGCTGTTAAATCTTGAGCGCTGCTCCTGGTCTCAGATAGGTCGAACGCCTGCTGCGCAAAATGTGACTGTACTTTGCGACAGTGCAGGAGCATGGTCGAAGGATCGAATGAAGTGACGATTGCGGGTAGTCATGACTCGAGCTCGTCGCAGCTTCGACGCTTTTCGGTTTCGCAGTTGCGAAAGGACTATGCTGAGATCAATCATCAATCAGAGTCTGACAATTCCAATCTATTCCACGGCCGTCTTACCAAGCTACGAGGGTCCCATTCAGCTGCCTGCTTTGCATTGTGATTCGATTGCTGACAGTCTATGATCGATCGGTTTTCCAGCGATGCACCTGTGGTTCTATGCGCCGATATCAGCAGTAAGGGAGGTCTGGAATTGTACGGTAGCACCAGGCATCCTTCGCAGCGAGCGGTCTTTTGAAATCCAACGCAACTCATGACGATGCCTTTGTCATTTGTGTTTTTGAATCTGTCCAGGTCTGTGAACTTCACTCAAGGTTGATAAAAGTCAACAGGTGTCGTATCGAGTTCTGGAACTAACGTTGCGTGCATGTTCATCGTTGTTGCTAATGTTCTGCGCTCGCCCGCAGATGTGTAAAGGAGGCGTTTGCTGTTCGAATCCGGTCTGCAACGTATGCCAGGGAGACGATTGCAACGATATCATCGGGGAAATATCCTGAACCCTCCATGTCGTATATTGATCTGCACTTCGATGCCAAATACCACGGGTAAGGCAGTGATTTAGGCCCAGAAGACGGTGACTGCTGAAGCTGCGCATAATACGGAACGAGACGTGAATGATTCGTACCGGGGCCCGCATGTATTCTATGCGGAAAAGCGGGCGTTGACGCCTTGGCAGGACCAAATCCTACCGAGTTTTTCAGCTGCCCGCCAGCTGTAACTCTTCCATATCACCATAATCGCGACTCTCACGCATCGCCTCTGCATTATCGCATTCGCCCCGGTGGACGCGCCTGACGGAGTTTCCAATCAGGCTGTGGTCGCTCCCGTGCTCAGCCTGCTTCCTCCATACTTGTCGTGCCCCTGACCACGCTCGCGACCGCGCGTTTGACGCCAGCACCATCGAGATGCCGCGTCCACCAGACAACTACACGCACTCGCAGTTTGAGCCCGTCGAGTCGGAGCATCAGGGCGAGACGGTGCAATGCATCCACTGTCGCAACTGGACCGGCAGCATCAAGACGCTCAACCGCAAGAAAGCGCACCTGATGAACTGTCCGCAGTACGCGCAGTGGCGGGCGTCAGGAAATGGCCAGGACTTGGCGCCCCCTAACAAATACCAGAAGCGTGACAGCACAACCCTGTCGGCTTGGGACGTAGATGCCGAGTAAGTTCCGCCCCGATATCATCATATCCTCCACATTGTCGATATGCCACACCAGCTGTCAATACCGACATAACGTTACTGATCCACAACGCTGACAACCATGGCAGCAACCCGTACATGGGCAACGGCTCTCCCTACGGCTATCAAGCAACGCCTACGATGGCCCGCGGCAAGAACCTGGGTGAGTCGATCGATATGCATGCTCTTGTGGTGTAATGCGTACTGACAATTTTGCTTGTAGATCTCAGCAAGGTAACCATTGACAAAGACATTCATGGATCCTGGCTCATGCTCAGTTCTGTAGTACTTCGACGAGTTCTGGGACGATTCAACAGCACAGAAGGTAAGTGCAGTCATTGATCGTTCTTGCTGCCTGCCTAGCCCGCAGCACTGTTCTCAACTGCTTTGCATTCGTCAACCTCCACCCACCTCACACCTACTCTCTACCAACACCACCCCTCGCTTCCTCTACATTACATCGCCTGACTCTTCTGCAGTGCATGCGTGTTCGCTGTCTGTCATGCGGCTTTGTTCGGGCCAAGAATACGACCCGTCAAGTTGAGCATCTCGCCACCTGCCAGGACTTTTTGACATCCCCCGAGGGACAGCAAGCAGTCCAGAACGGCGAGTTGGAGATGACGCCAGCAGGCCCTCCTCCAAGCTTCAACAACAACATGCGCGGCGACATTTGGCGCGGTAGTGCCCCGAACCCGATCCTCCAAGTCGGCAACACTCCTGCCAGCCGCCTGAGCATCGGCGGCGGCAATAAGATGCAGCCTCCACCACGACCGCAGCCTAGCCTCGTTAGTCATCTGCTCAACAAGTGGCCCGACAAGCTTGCCAAGGCGACCCAGCAGCAATTCCTCTCGCATGCTGGATGTGGCACGCTGTCCGCTACTGCACTAGCACACTGGCTCGGTCAGAATTCTCACATCAGTCGTGCCATGATTTCCTTCATCGGCAAGCTGATTGGAAAGGTCTCCCTGCCCGAGACTAGCAACAGCAAGACCAACACGCACTACCGCGCGCTCGATCTTCTCGTCTCGACTGTTAGCAACATTAGGAAGGAGCTTGACTTCATCGAGGCTACCAAGCGCAAGCATTCAATCCAGTCCGACGGCGAGCCACCGTCTCCGATGACCAAGGCCTATGTCGACCTTCTCGCTTCTGCAGCGGATACTAGGTCCACGCTGCTCGAGGGCATGGTGGCTCTTTGGGCGACCGAGCACGTAAGAGAGGCTCCTCTGCTTTCTTCCTTGCGCGCCTCATGCTAATACCTGTCTAGTGCTACTACGCCTCTTGGCAATACGCATCGAACTTCGCATCGAAAATGCCGACCTCCAGCTATTCCGTCCCTTCCTACCTGACGCAAACCAATGGCAACCCGTACGGCGACCCTGGCTCCATTCGCCCTGCCAACAGCCTTTCCGAGCAACACCTCGCTGCCCTCCAAGAAGCCCTCATCCCGAACTGGACCTCCCGCGAGTTTAGCAAGTTCGTTGAGGCCTGCCGCGCCATCGTGGACGAGCTCGCCAACGCAGAGACAACGGGCAGCGGCCGCGACCAGCTGCTGCGCTGCGAGCAGCAGTATCAGCAGGTCATCTACCTGTGGGAGCGTGTATGGCCAGAGGTCGACGGCATGGGCCAGGAGAACGATCTCGACGACGCAGACGTCCCGCAAGAGTCGTCAAACCTCAGCCAGACGCTTGGTCGCTCGCAGAATGACGGAAACGACGCTGGTCCTTCTGCTTCGAACGGCACCGAGCGCAAGCAAGAGCCAATAGAGATCCAGGACGACGACGATAATGGGCAAGAGCTATCCATCGACTCGCCATACGGCGGCACAGGTCTTGGGGCTGTTGCAGCCGCCAATCAGGCGCCATAGAACGGCGACGAGAAGAAGGCTGGCAGCCCCATTCCTGCCGCGCGCAAGGTCCGCGCGCCTGCCGAGATCATGGAGCACGCTAGGGTGCAGCGAATGACGAGGGAGATAATGCATGACATGGAAGTCGCATGGCAGGTGCCGCAGAGCGACGCCTTCCCGGGCAAAATGTCCGACATGGACATGTGATTGGCTTGGCGTTTGGCAGAGATACCCAGATAGCGACAGAATTCAGTAATTATTGGCATGAAACTCCACCTCCCCTCTCCGCTGCAGTCGTTTCTATGCTCTTGAGGTTTGAACCCGCACCACATACACGGGTCGAAGTTTTGGAGCGACAGCTGGATGTTCAGCACATGTGACTGGCTTGGCGTTCGGAATCGGCAGGAGGCGATGCACACATCGCGACAGGAGCGTACGTGAAAACGCTTTTCCTTCTCGTCTGTGAGCGCTTCGAAGGTCTTGACGTTTGAACCAGCACCAGATCCACGAGGCGAAACTTTGGAGCGACAGCTGCATGTTCAGCACATGTGACTGCCTTGGCGTGCGGAAATGGCAGGAGCGATACCCGAATCGCGAAAGAAACAAGCTTGTCCTTCTCGGCTGTGAGTGCTTCTATGGTCTTGGGGTCTGGCTGGTAAGAAAAGTTGTAGGAGTGGTATGCGCGTGAGAATATTCGGATCCTACCTGTCGCAGGGCATTATATTACGACTGCTTCTCCGCTGGGAGTGATTCTATGGTTCTAGGGTTTGTACTGGCTTTGGCTGGTAAGAAAAGTTGTAGGAGTGGTATGCGCGTGAGAATATTCGGATCCTACCTGTCGCAGGGCATTATATTACGACTGCTTCTCCGCTGGGAGTGATTCTATGGTTCTAGGGTTTGTACTGGCTCTGGCTGGCGGGAAGAGATGGAGGAGTGATGGGCGAGTGAGCACAAGGTCAGTCACCCCAATCCTCCCAACGTGGCATCAAACGGCCTCTGCTTCTGGACTCTATACCTGCCTATGGCGTTGAAGTTTACACCGTTACCAGCTAGTAAGAATAGATGTCGGAGTGATGGGCGGGGAAGCTATACACCAATTCCCCTATCTCCCATTAGACCCTTGCGAGCAGGCTAAGTGACATTATCCGTTTATTTATAAACGCCTTGCGCAGCAAGGGTCTAAACACAAACTGTTAGATTTAGATAGCTAAAATAACCAACTTAGCGTATAACGCGAAATACAGAATTGTTAGAACTGTATATTATAGCGCGTACAATTGCGAGTTTAACGCTATAAAAATGAAGTAAATGCGACGTTGCGGCGTTAAGATATTATTAATCTCCTAAGGCGGGTTTACTATAGCTAGCCGGCTTTAGCTATAGGTTAGTAGATAGTAGCACATACCTATATTACGACACTAATATTTTAAGAAGAAAACACTTAGAGGTTATAGAGCGTACAATTCTAAGTAGATTCTTTACTAGGCATAATACTATATAATATTATATTAATGCTTTTACGAGTAAGTAGCAGAAGTTAGCTAAATTCGACCGTCTTTATTTTACCTATAAACACTTAGCGCTTGTTACGCCTGTAATTCTAAGACATTTTATATACTATTTATATCGATATAACGTTATAGTATTATATTCTAATCGATAAGCGGAGGTCGCTTAGCGGAGCTTTTAGTCCGCCTATATAATCTGTATATTATTAGTATAACTCTAAGTAATATACGGTAAATACATACCTCGATTAGTATTAATCTAAGACTTCCTTAAAAGTATTAACTAGGTCCTTCTCGGGTCCTTCGATAATTAACTAGTATACCGTAGTACGAGACTAATAAGGCCTTAACTTCGATAACTAGCTCTTAAATGTCCTTGTCTATAAGCGCCTTAAGGTTAGCGTCTTTAGTAGGATCGAGTAGCTTAATATAGGCGACGTACCGGTAGAGATCGGATATATTTTCGATAGCGGTCTATAGCTCGAGATAGTCGTTAAGTAGAGCTATACTATACTATAGCTCTTGTTTGTCGTAGAAGAGGTATTAGCTTCTACGTATAAGCTTTAGAGCGGTCGACGTTATTATTAAAGGTTATAGGTTAATATTCGAAGGTTAAGGTTCGTAGACGCGTAGTAGAAACGCGTCGACCTATAAAGAAGCAGTACGGATAGTTACATACGCTAGCGCGTATTCCCGTAGATTCTCGGTCTATGCTTTTATATATACTATGCGACTAGTCGCGTCTAGGTCTAACCTACTCTCTTCTATCTTGCAACACTTATTTACAAAGTTGCTATTTATATATTAACTACCTCTATATATTAATTATCCGCCGACAAGGCTGCGAGAAGTATACTAATTACTAACTAAACAAACATCGCTGCCCGCTATTATATCCGACGATATACTAGAGGATATAGACCTCGACGATCTACTGCCGCAGACCTTTACGTTTATAGGCAGTAGCCTAGTTTCGGGCCCTCTTAGAAACATATCGAGCGACCTAAGCGCAGCACTACTAACATTAGATATTAATCGTATATAGACTATAGTTAGCCGATAGGTACGTCGCCTCGCAGCTCGTTATTAAGCGCTAATCCTAGAGATTAGTTCTTAGGCTAGACAAGAAGATAAGGACGACCTCGAGAGCGAGGCTTTAGAATAGGAGGATAGAGTAAGCGACGATAAGGTCGAGATAGAGATAATAGCTAACGAGGTCGAAGGCTTTAATCTAGCTAATAAGTAGGAATCTAATCGCGAGGATAAAGAAGATACTATCGATAGACTACGTATATATAGCGGCAAGCGAGGCAAAGCTCCTACTACTATTACTAATAAGCGCAAGACACGATAGTAGCGTATAGTAGCCGATAAGACCGACGAGGAGAAGTTTGAGACTCTAATAGTATAGTTTAAGATCGAGTCCCTAGGCGTAATAAAGTTCCTCCGCCGGTAGGTCGAGAAGCTAGGTAGCAAGACCTATCGACGTCGTATTAGGTACATTCTAAACAACTTTGCTTAAGAATGCTTAATTAGCGGTCGAGAGTTGCGCTCTAAGTTAAAGAAGCTTATTAGATAGAAGTTCTTTAATAAGTATAATACGATAAAGGCCGTTAAGCTAGCCGACCTTATAGATATAGTAGAAATTATTCAAGAAACCGCTCTAATATAGTATAAGTTGCTCGAGCGTCTACTACTAAACAAGCGTACTAAGGTTAGTATAGACATATCGTAGCTAGCTACTAGCGGAGGCGATAATAACGACGACGATTAGGAGGATAAGGATGCCGCCGAAGAACGAGACAAGCACCGCCGATACGAGAAGCGTATCTACACTATTACTTAGATAGTAGCTCGGTCTATAGCCTTAAAGAAAGCCTGTTTCTTCGCGAAGGGTTTTAGCTTGTTCCTATACACTTCCGGTATTAAGCGGCGTATCGTAAATATACTTAGTAGCCTTAGTATATACTTAGCCTACTCGACAATCTAGATAGTCGCTCGTAAGATTACTATCGAGAATCGTAAGCGTACTATTGCCCTAGCTAAGAAGATAAAGAAGCAGCCGGTTGTTATTATCTACGATAACTACTATGTCTCCTAGGATCGTTACGGTATATAAGCTATCGGCTAATCTACGAAGTAGAGAAATATAACTACTTCTTATATTACTCGATATCGCGTAATAAAGAAGCCGCTCCGCCGGAATATACTAGATCGTACGAAGAAGCTAAATCCGAAGGTTATCTTACGTAGCTATAAGAAGGATGCCGCTCGTAAGGCTGTATCTCTATATTATATCGACTAGGCGATAGGCTTTGTATTCGGTTCGGAGCTAAAGAAGCTGTTCGAGGACTTCGACTTTAATAGCTATAAATTAACGAAGAATAGCGGCACTAAGACATCGCGTTTGCTATAGTACAAGATCCGCATTAAGAACCTAAAAGATAGTAGAACGATTATTATCTCGCTACTAGTATTAGATTATAATAAGGCCTCGATCGAGGAGACCTATAAAGTATATAACGATATCTTCTAGTCGTTTCTTAAGCTTAATCCAGATAATAAAGCATTCTAGGACTAGCTTATTATCGTTATTAGCGACTAGCTAACTATCGAGCGTATTCGTAGCGTCTAAGCCGGCAGTATCGAGAGTACCCGTACCTACGACCGTAAGGAGTTTATAGTACCTATCGTAGCGATGTTCTACGTCGAGATAAACGCCTATTATACCTCTATAAAGACTTATTATCTACGGAATAACTGCGACAAGGGCAAGAAGCTTACTTACAACTACTAGGATAATGCTGCGTACTATAGCGTAATCCGTCTAACTAATAAGAAGTACTAGTACTGTATTATTAAGCAGGTCGTAGTCCGATTATATCGCAGTCGCATTATAGCCTTAGTTATTCGAATCTTTATCGACCGTAGCTAGCTCGACTTTGTAGATCCTAAGTTAGCTAATAAGAGCTATATCGATGCTATACGGTATATAATTAAGAACTATATTGCTCCTAAGTAGTACCTAGAAGTCGTAGAAGCTGTCTACGAGATAGCCCTTACTTAGAAAGTATAGGTTAGTAAGGATAATACCGGCCGTATCGTCGATCCTAACTTTACTACTATAGCGCGTATACTAATTAAAATCGATAACTACCTTACTATCTACGAGGCAATCCGTAAGATAGATATCGGGTATCTTCGACGTATAATTAACATCCTTATACTAAACTTCTTTAGCGCTTATTAGCTTAATTACGGTCGGGAGATAGTATATATACGGTA